GGAGGGAGAGCTAAATTAGAGAGGGAGGGAGAGCTAAATTAGAGAGACGGGGAGAGCTAAATTAGAGAGGCAGGGAGAGCTAATTTAGAGAGACAGGGAGAGCTAAATTAGAGAGACAGGGAGAGCTAAATTAGAGAGACGGGGAGAGCTAAATTAGAGAGGCAGGGAGAGCTAATTTAGAGAGACGGGGAGAGCTAAATTAGAGAGGCAGGGAGAGCTAATTTAGAGAGACGGGGAGAGCTAAATTAGAGAGGGAGGGAGAGCTAAATTAGAGAGACAGGGAGAGCTAAATTAGAGAGGCAGGGAGAGCTAATTTAGAGAGACAGGGAGAGCTAAATTAGAGAGACGGGGAGAGCTAAATTAGAGAGGCAGGGAGAGCTAATTTAGAGAGACGGGGAGAGCTAAATTAGAGAGGCAGGGAGAGCTAATTTAGAGAGACAGGGAGAGCTAATTTAGAGAGACAGGGAGAGCTAAATTAGAGAGGCAGGGAGAGCTAATTTAGAGAGGGAGGGAGAGCTAAATTAGAGAGACAGGGAGAGCTAAATTAGAGAGGGAGGGAGAGCTAATTTAGAGAGACAGGGAGAGCTAAATTAGAGAGGCAGGGAGAGCTAAATTAGAGAGGGAGGGAGAGCTAATTTAGAGAGACAGGGAGAGCTAAATTAGAGAGACAGGGAGAGCTAAATTAGAGAGGCAGGGAGAGCTAAATTAGAGAGGCAGGGAGAGCTAAATTAGAGAGGGAGGGAGAGCTAAATTAGAGAGGGAGGGAGAGCTAATTTAGAGAGACAGGGAGAGCTAAATTAGAGAAACAGGGAGAGCTAAATTAGAGAGGCAGGGAGAGCTAAATTAGAGAGGGAGGGAGAGCTAAATTAGAGAGACAGGGAGAGCTAAATTAGAGAGGCAGGGAGAGCTAAATTAGAGAGGGAGGGAGAGCTAATTTAGAGAGACAGGGAGAGCTAAATTAGAGAGACAGGGAGAGCTAAATTAGAGAGGCAGGGAGAGCTAAATTAGAGAGGCAGGGAGAGCTAAATTAGAGAGGCAGGGAGAGCTAAATTAGAGAGGGATGGAGAGCTAAATTAGAGAGGCAGGGAGAGCTAAATTAGAGAGGCAGGGAGAGCTAAATTAGAGAGGGAGGGAGAGCTAAATTAGAGAGGCAGGGAGAGCTAAATTAGAGAGGCAGGGAGAGCTAAATTAGAGAGGCAGGGAGAGCTAAATTAGAGAGGGAGGGAGAGCTAAATTAGAGAGACAGGGAGAGCTAATTTAGAGAGACAGGGAGAGCTAATTTAGAGAGGGAGGGAGAGCTAATTTAGAGAGACGGGGAGAGCTAAATTAGAGAGACAGGGAGAGCTAATTTAGAGAGACAGGGAGAGCTAATTTAGAGAGGGAGGGAGAGCTAAATTAGAGAGACAGGGAGAGCTAATTTAGAGAGACAGGGAGAGCTAATTTAGAGAGGGAGGGAGAGCTAAATTAGAGAGGCAGGGAGAGCTAAATTAGAGAGGGAGGGAGAGCTAAATTAGAGAGGGAGGGAGAGCTAAATTAGAGAGACAGGGAGAGCTAAATTAGAGAGGGAGGGAGAGCTAAATTAGAGAGACGGGGAGAGCTAATTTAGAGAGGGAGGGAGAGCTAAATTAGAGAGGCAGGGAGAGCTAAATTAGAGAGACAGGGAGAGCTAAATTAGAGAGGCAGGGAGAGCTAAATTAGAGAGGGAGGGAGAGCTAAATTAGAGAGACAGGGAGAGCTAATTTAGAGAGACAGGGAGAGCTAATTTAGAGAGGGAGGGAGAGCTAATTTAGAGAGGGAGGGAGAGCTAAATTAGAGAGACAGGGAGAGCTAAATTAGAGAGGGAGGGAGAGCTAAATTAGAGAGACGGGGAGAGCTAAATTAGAGAGACGGGGAGAGCTAAATTAGAGAGGCAGGGAGAGCTAATTTAGAGAGGCAGGGAGAGCTAATTTAGAGAGGGAGGGAGAGCTAATTTAGAGAGACAGGGAGAGCTAATTTAGAGAGGGAGGGAGAGCTAAATTAGAGAGACAGGGAGAGCTAAATTTAGAGAGACGGGGAGAGCTAAATTAGAGGGGCAGGGGAGAGCTAATTTAGAGAGGACGGGGAGAGCTAAATTAGAGAGAACAGGGAGAGCTAAATTAGAGAGACGGGGAGAGCTAAATTAGAGAGGCAGGGAGAGCTAATTTAGAGAGGCAGGGAGAGCTAATTTAGAGAGGGAGGGAGAGCTAATTTAGAGAGACAGGGAGAGCTAATTTAGAGAGGGAGGGAGAGCTAAATTAGAGAGACAGGGAGAGCTAAATTAGAGAGACGGGGAGAGCTAAATTAGAGGGGCAGGGAGAGCTAATTTAGAGAGACGGGGAGAGCTAAATTAGAGAGACAGGGAGAGCTAAATTAGAGAGACGGGGAGAGCTAAATTAGAGAGGCAGGGAGAGCTAATTTAGAGAGACGGGGAGAGCTAAATTAGAGAGGCAGGGAGAGCTAAATTAGAGAGGCAGGGAGAGCTAATTTAGAGAGACGGGGAGAGCTAAATTAGAGAGACAGGGAGAGCTAATTTAGAGAGGCAGGGAGAGCTAATTTAGAGAGACGGGGAGAGCTAAATTAGAGAGGCAGGGAGAGCTAATTTAGAGAGGCAGGGAGAGCTAATTTAGAGAGACGGGGAGAGCTAAATTAGAGAGGCAGGGAGAGCTAAATTAGAGTGACAGGGAGAGCTAAATTAGAGAGGCAGGGAGAGCTAATTTAGAGAGGGAGGGAGAGCTAAATTAGAGAGGCAGGGAGAGCTAATTTAGAGAGGCAGGGAGAGCTAATTTAGAGAGGCAGGGAGAGCTAATTTAGAGAGGCAGGGAGAGCTAATTTAGAGAGGCAGGGAGAGCTAAATTAGAGAGGCAGGGAGAGCTAATTTAGAGAGGCAGGGAGAGCTAATTTAGAGAGGCAGGGAGAGCTAAATTAGAGAGGCAGGGAGAGCTAATTTAGAGAGGCAGGGAGAGCTAATTTAGAGAGGGAGGGAGAGCTAAATTAGAGAGGCAGGGAGAGCTCACGAGACAGAGAGAGGGCGAATAGAAGCTGGGGTCAGACAGAGAGTGCGGCAGGGGGAGTGAAAGGGGGGGTAGGGGGGGGTAAGGGGGGGAGTGAAAGGGGGGGTAGAGGGGGTAAGGGGGGGCATCATTAGGGGAGCAGGGAGAGTGCAGCTGAGAGTGCAGCTCGCGTGGAGAGTCCCTGGGGGGGGGGGGGCTGCTGCTGCTGCTGCTGCCTCGAGAACGCCACAAAGACAAAGATCCCCGTATAGCCTTTGTCAGGGTGTTAGGACAAGTGCTGTTAGAGAGCTCGGCTATGCAGGGCTGGAAGGGAGGATATGTGATAGTGGTGGGGGTGGCCAGCACCACACCCGGCTCTGCTGCATCGACCCACACCCTCACCCTCACCACACCCTCACCAGATCCTCACCACACCCTCACCCTCACCACACCCTCACCACACCCTCACCCTCACCACACCCTCACCACACTCTCACCCTCACCACACCCTCACCAGACCCTCACCAGATCCTCACCACACCCTCACCACACCCTAACCCTCACCACACCCTCACCCTCACCACACCCTCACCAGACGCTCACCCTCATCACACCCTCACCACACCCTCACCACACCCTCACCCTCACCACACCCTCACCAGACCCTAACCCTAACCCTCACCACACTCTCACCCTCACCACACCCTCACCACAGCCTCACCCTCACCACACCCTCACCAGACCCTAACCCTCACCACACCCTCACCAGACCCTAACCCTCACCCTCACCACACCCTCACCACAGCCTCACCCTCACCACACCCTCACCAGACCCTAACCCTCACCACACCCTCACCACACCCTCACCACACCCTAACCCTCACCCTCACCACACTCTCACCCTCACCACACCCTCACCACACCCTAACCCTCACCACACCCTCACCAGACCCTAACCCTCACCACACCCTAACCCTCACCACACCCTCACCCTCACCACACCCTCACCAGACCCACTCCCAATCACACCCGCCGAGCACGGCCATTCCTCTCTCCCCCTCGTCTCCCTCTCGCCTCCCCCGTGTCCGTGCGGCGGGCGGGCGCCGTGGCCTTCCCCCCGTAGGCCTTCTCCCCCCGTGGCCTTCCCCCCCCCCCACCCCCCCGTGGCCTTCCCCCCCCCCCCACCCCCCGTGGCCTTCCCCCCCCCCACCCCCACGTGGCCTTCCCCCCCCCCCACCCCCCCGTGGCCTTCCCCCACGGGCGAGCGCTTCCCGCGGGCCGGCGGCCACTGTGGGTGTGGGGGGGGGCTCGTCTCGCAGAGATGCCAGCGGCGGGCAAGTGAGCGTGAGAGAGCGTGTGTGTGCGTGTGTGTCTGTGTGTGTCTGTGTGTGTGTGTGTCTGTGTGTGTGTGTCTGTGTGTGTCTGTGTGTGTGTCTGTGTGTGTGTCTGTGTGTGTGTGTCTGTGTGTGTGTGTGTCTGTGTGTGTGTGTCTGTCTGTGTGTGTCTGTGTGTGTGTGTGTCTGTGTGTGTGTGTCTGTGTGTGTCTGTGTGTGCGTGTGTGTCTGTGTGTGTGTCTGTGTGTGTCTGTGTGTGTGTGTGTGTCTGTGTGTGTGTGTGTGTGTCTGTGTGTGTGTGTCTGTGTGTGTCTCTGTGTGTGTGTGTGTCTGTGTGTGTGTGTCTGTGTGTGTGTCTGTGTGTGCGTGTGTGTCTGTGCGTGTGTCTGTGTCTGTCCTGTGTCTGTGCGTGTGTGTGTGTCTGTGTGTGTGTCTGGTGTGCGTGTGTCTGTGCTGTGTGCGTGTGTGTGTGTCTGTGTGTGTGTCTGTGTGTGTGTGTCTGTGTGTGTGTCTGTGTGTGTGTGTGCGGTGTAGCGGTTAGCGCGCTGCGCTACGAACCCCGCGAGACCCGAGTTCCATCCCGCTCGCGCCCCTCATTTCAGCGGCGAATATCTGAACCCGCCGCGCTCCGAGATGTCAAACACACATCAGCGCCGCTGGGGACACAAAGGTGGCCGGGCGTTGTACTATCCGCCCCACCGACCCATCGGTGCAACTCGCTCACCGGCACTTGCCCCAGCAGTCCGTTAAGGGCTATACGGGTGACCTCTGTCTTTACGTTCGCATCTTTGCAGAGCGCCTCCTCGTGTGCACGTGGGTGACCCACTGAGGCTGCCCGCACTGCGCGTGCCGATCTCGCCGCCTGACGCCGACGTCTCGCGACTCGTCGTCGTCGTCGTCCGCTCTCTTCTGGCCGTAGCGAGGCTCGCGTGGTCGCCCCGTGGCTCATTACCGGAGGGGAAACAGCGGCAGCAGCAGCAGCATCTCGGGTGTCCCTGACAGATGCCTCCCTTCTGACCTCCCCCTTCCTCCTCCCTCCTCCTCCTCCTGCTCCTCCCCGTCGTTATTTTGTTTGAAACCATTCGCACATCTGCCGCGCACTCCTGGGCGGTGTGGCCTTGCGGCTCCCGCGCCGACCCATTGCGGCAGCAGCAGCAGCGCGGCCACAGCTCCCCGCCCCGCGGCTCTCGGTCTTGAGGACGCCGCCGTGCGAGGCGTGAGCCCTGACCCCACCTCCCCCCCTCGGGGGCGAGCCCCGCGGCGGGAGCGGAGCGAGAGATCGGAGCGAGAGATCGGAGCGGAGGTCCCCGTCGGGCGAGGGGCGGCCACACCCTCGCTCCCTCGGAGCGGGGAGGAGGAGAATCCCCGCGTCCGCCGACATCGCAGCCGCTGCTGGACTCAGGGACCTGCGCGGATTCCAGGGCGCGCTCGGCAGCCCGGCGGGCTGGGCACACCGGCAGGGGACGGGACCGAGCGTGAGTTTGGACGGCGGGAGAGGTGGACGCTTTTGCCGGGTTGGAGCGGTGGGATCGGGATTTTTTCTGTTCGGTGGGTCGGCACCTCTCGGTCGGGCGGTGAGCGAGACGCGGTGAGGATCGGGGTCCGGTTTCGTCGTCGTGCCCGATGCGGATCGCCACCTCTCCGCCCGTCTGAGCGCTGGGGTGCAGAGAGGTCCCGCGGAGGGCGGTGAACGCGATCGATCTACGCGCGGATAAAAGAAAATTATCTGAAGCCAAGAGATGTTGAAGAAGGGCCGGCCTCTGAATTGATGTTGCATGTTCAGCCGCGAGTTCAAACTGGCGTTCAAGTGTAAAGGGGCCTGCTTGTGCACCCGTGGGCCGTGTTTGTGCCGATTTGAGATCCATATAACGACCCTGACGATCTCGGAGACCTGCGAGCGGCTTAGTGACCAATTAAAGAGACGAGCAAGACCACCGGGAGCCTCTCTGGGCAGGGCAAGAGGCCACCTGGGTTTAAATAATCATCCGGCACGGCGATCGTGACGTCTCGGCTGCCCGTACGCTCTTGGGAACTCGTCCTTGTGGCTTGTGGAGAAGGAACTCCGTCGTCGCAGTCACCGCCGCTCACGCTGCGCCCTTCAAGGTGGCAACGCGCGCGTGACGGCCGCGGTCGGACGGCTTCACGGTCCCGCACGCTTGGCCGTCCGTGCCGAGTGCTCTCTGACGAAGGCGGCCGTGGGAAAATATTAAGATTTTCAAATTTTCTGAAATTTCCGGCCATCGGTTTTACGGGACCGAGTGCGACGACGTCCGTCACGCGTCGCGCGGGAAAAAATATCGACGAGCCGAGCGGGAAGATTCTTCGACTCCAACGAAAAGCATCTCGTGGCCGTCCTGCGTCTCGCTGAGATAAACACCGCGGGTTTCTGGGCACTCCGGCCCCGCGATGCGCTCGTCCAGCTTCCCACGCGGCGCGAGCGGAGGCCGCGTCGTTTAGGCCACGTGCGGACCCCGCAATCGTCGCCGCGAGCGCAAAGCCCCCGCCCGGGCGACGGTCATTGCCACCGCTCCGGCTCCAAATGCTCCACCGGCCCAAGTACAGCCGCTTCCGTAACGACTCCGTGACCTCGGCGGACGAGCGGACGAGCGGCGGTTCCGCCCGCGACGGCCCCGCGCCGCTCGCCGCTTGCCCAGAGATGGACGGCGGCGGCGGCGCCTCCGCCGGCCCCGGTCCAGGACCGTTACCCGGACACGGCGCCGCCCCCACGATCGTGGCCGCTCCGGCCTCCTTCCCGGATCGCTCGCCTCCGCCCATCGCGGTCCACGCCGGCGGCACCGACAAAGGTTTCGACGCCGCCAACGACGACGAAGAAGAAGACTCGGAAAGCTTCAAGGACAACGGCGACTACCTGACGCAGTGCAGCGACACGGACGAGGACGGCGAGGAGGCCGCCGGCGCCGGTGGCGGTGGCGCCGCGGGCCAACTCTGCGGCCTCCTGCCGCGCGTCAAGCTCCCCGGTTCGGCCGTGCTCTCCGAGGCGGCGGCGGGCGGCCGTGGCGGCGCGCCGGCGGGGGCCTCGCCGGGTGGGGGAGGGGAGGTGGGGGCGAGCGCGGGCCCCAGGGGGAACGATGACGGAGCGACGCGACCCACGGACGCGGTAACACCACCTCTACCACCTCCACCACACCCACCCCACCCACTCTCCCTTGACGCGGCCGCGCCGGCCACTCTCCGCGCTCGTCCACAAGCGGCACACGATCTGAGGGACGACGGTCGAATCGGTGGTAGGGGCAAATCTTAGTCTCAGGCCGCCCAGTCTCCAACTCCCATCGTCCACTCCATCTCTATAATTGACCTCTGTTTATGTGCCATGAAAAAGGTTAATTTCCCAAAACATCACTGATTTTAAATAAAGGGTGCTTCAAAAAAATGATAACATTTACATGGGAATATCGTATTTTAATGGAAAAATAACGGATAATGCACTGTAACATGATAACAAATGTATGTTAATAGCTTCAAAAAGTCAAAGAGTCTCCACTTGTTCGCAATAATTGTCAACACGTGCCTGGAATCTTCTCCAGGTGGTCTCCAAAGCCAGAGGCACATTTCTCGTGGTCTTGTTGCAAATTCTCAGAAGTGTTCACATTTTTTTGAAGCACCCTGCGTATATGTTTTTTTTAAGCTCACGGTGTTGACGAGTGCGTTGGATTTTTGTTCCATCTCAAGTGAGAGCTGGATATCGTGCTTGGGTTAGGGTTATGGTTGGGGTTAGACTTCATGACTATTCACAAGTATAACTCTCCTCCTCCGTGGTCGAAAAGTCCAAACGCCTTCTCTGACACCGCTGGGATTTTCGATCCGAACTCTGAGAAGTTTGACCCCAAAAAAACGAGTGAACAACGAAATCCCATGATGTGACCTCACGAACTTTAACAACACAAAACTGCTCCCCCCCGCTTCCACTCTTTGTGATTGTGGTGTTGGGGGTTGCGGTGATGGTAATTGTGGTGTTTGTGGTGCCAATTTTGGACCAAATTGGCAAAAATTTCAAAAACATAACCCACAGAATTACTCAATGGAAATGTGCATGGCAAATCATCGCCTGCCACCCCCTCCAATTCCGCAAAACTTTACCGCGCGCAAAACTTGCCAGGACGCTCGTGAGAGAAAAGTGTCGGGACGCGGTGAGACTCTCCCTTGGGTAGCTGGGTAGACGAGCACGCCATTTGAAAAATTCCAACTCCCCTGCCCCTCGGATCAAATCGTCGCGAGCGAGGGTGCGCGAATGTCCGTGGCAGTCAAGTCATGGCGACGCGTGTAACATCGGCAGCGTTCGTGAAAATTTTGAGAGAAAATATTGCGAGAAAATTAAAGACAATTGGATTCAAGTTGCGCGATTAAAGGTCACGTCGTTGAGACGAGCAAATTTCCACTTCCAACTTTCACCTCCGCGCGGAAGGGAACGACCGTGGAAGTTGTCATCACGGAACTACTTCTGGGGTCACCTCAATCGGGCGATGTGCATTTTGTCACGCGCCCTTCTAGGCCGCGGGCGTGTTGGGTCGGGTCATGTGGCTATCGAACCTCTGTTTTTGTGGCTATTGGAGCCGAAATTAAAATGCTAAAAAGTATATACATATATAACAGTTGACGTTTCGGGCAATGACCCCTTGTTCCTGGATGACGGGGGATCGGTGGACGGGCCGAGACCATAAATCCGCTCGACTCGAGATCCGGGTCTAATCGCGGGCAGCGGTTGTCATCCGATTTTCGAGCCTCGCGGTCCAAGCGGTGCCGGCTCAGCGACCCCCGGCGAGATATTAACTCGGCTAAGACTTCCGGGCCACCGTCCCCCCCATAATCTCCTGATCATGGTGATGATTCTCTGAGATGCCCCGCCGTGGTAGGTGGGCAATTCCGTTACGAATTATTGGGTGGTGGGGTGGTGGCACCGCAGCGGTGATGCGCGTGTGACCTCGCACCAAGCAGGGTCTGGGTTTGATTTCTGACTCGGGCCCTTTTCTGCGTGTGGAGTTTGTACGTTCTACTCCTGATCTGCAGAGAGTGTGAGTGTTGGTGAGAGCGTCAGCGTGAGTGAGAGTGTGGAGTTCGTATGTTTTCTCTCCCCATATTCCCCGTGGGTTTCCTCTGGGTACTCTGGAGGTTTCCTCCCGTAGCTAGAAAACCCCACACACGGTGTGACCGCTGTTGGCCCAAAAAACATCCCAATGCTGAAAAATTACCGGCAAATTACTCAGAATCTGAATATTTATTTTATACTGGAGGAATCCGATGAGCTATTAAGCTCTTTTTTGCAGATGTCTAGTAAGGGCGGGAAAGAACGTCACAACAACAAACAGGGCAAGAACACGATAGTAGCGCAAAGTACAAGAAAGTTAAACAAATTACCCAAACACAAACAAATAAAACTAAACCATCCCCGTCCGAGTAGGCAAAACCCACTTAGGTGTTAACTTAATTTTCAGAAGCGACCTGGCCACAAATGATAGCTCAACAAAGTGGAAGCCATCATTTGGACATTCATAGCAGCAAAATTATCTAACTAATCTCAATGCGTGTTTCAATTGGGCTGCCACTGCAGCAGCAGCAGCAACAGCAGTAGTAGCATCGTGGCCCCGACTGCAGGACCCCTCCTGAACAAGCGTCTTGAGGCTTGGCGATGCCCTCTCGGCTGAACGAGTGGAATAATAATAATCATAATCACGGTTATAATAAGCACCGCGACAATTGTACCGTCCACTTTTCGTCAGCATCGGTATATATCGCGATGCTTACATACCGATCCTGGCTGTCCGCCTGATGAAGTTAGTTGTAATTACTGGCGAAACGTCGTCCTCGGATTGTAAATGTCGTGGATTTTCTCTCCAACACACAGCCGGTTTTGTGCTGTACTAGTAACGAATTGGCACGTTCTGTTGACGTGACAAACCTTACTAGTTGGCTGTGTCGGGTGGTGGCAGGTTTAATGACACATTTATATATTTACGGCATCTGAACCCCAACAAACCCTCTTTATTATCGCAATAACCATTGCTTCGTTTTTTTCGTCCCCTAAAATATTTTCCGTACCGAGCTGTAAATAAATAATCGGCTCCCACCGATTAAATTCGTGCTTTGCTAAAGGCCTTTAGGAGTAATTGACTGCGGCAATTACATGGCAAATAGTTTTAGTAATCGGATTATTTATTTTCGTGTAACCGCCAGCACGTGTATTGTTAGCATGATATGTAATACGTATGTCAAAATCAGCTCAAAGCCTCCCGTAAGTCACTTGACTGAACCCCTCCCCTCTCCCCGCTGCCCGCTGTGAAAACAAACTCTGCCGCTCCTTCTCTCTCCCTCTCTTCCCTCCCCTCTCAGCATCATCATCATCACTCTCTCATCCCCCGGGCATTCATTCTCTGCCTCCTCCTCCTCCCCTTGCTGCACCGTCACTCCTCCTCCTGCTGCTCATCTTGAGCCGTGCCCTCCTCTTCGACCATCTCGGGCACCTCCAACCGGGCATCGTCCCCTTCCCTCTCCCACGCATCTCACACCCCCCCCCCCCCCCCCCGCCTGCTGCCCGCTTCTCCTTTCCCAGACATTCTATCCTCGACTCTGCTGCCACGTCCCGTGGTGCACCGTGGTTACGCGGCGTCGTTGCGATGATCATGAAGGGGCTCACGGCAGGAGGCCGATGTTGAGTGAACTGCAGTTGGTGAAACTCCGCTGCAGGTCGCCGGCCACTCGGAGCGAACATGGACGACGTTTCGAAATGTCGGCCTTTTTGTTCGAAGCGTTACCGATTGTACGCTTGTTCCATGTCGGGCCACACACAATGGTGTGTCATGGTGGCAAGGTGTTAACTACCTCGCCTGGTATGCAGGAGGTCGTGGGTTCAATCACGACCATGACGCCTGCTGCATATTTGGAGTTTGCGTGTCTCTCTCCCCGTGGTCATGTGGATTTTCTGCAGGTCCTCCGCTTTTTCCCTCCACATTTAAAATCAACATCAGGCGTTTTGAGTATTTGGCCGCTTTACATTTCCACACGATGATGAGCCACTTAATTGGGCTATCATTTGTGATAACCAGGTCGCTTCTGGGCCTTACCTGGCAGAATACAAAAATAGTTTAGTTTAATAGAATGTGTTGCATTTTATGAGTTGTGCTTTGTGCACCACTGCCAACACAGTATCACATACATTTTCTTACTCATTAATTTAACGGTACAGACAAATGTTGCGATTGTCAAGTTCCGTGGCTCAAGTCGTGATCCCGTCGCAGAGAAACTGATCGAGCGATCTCCACCGCCAACTCCCAGGATCCTCCGCCGTCAGACATGGACCTCCGTGCCGCGCTGGCCTCCAGGGAGACGGAGGCCGCCGCGGTCGCCGCCACGACCACGGCGCTGGGCGGGCGGCCCGGGCCCTACGGGGCCGACCCGGGGCCCGCCGCGGGGACGGCGGCGAGCAAGGCCGCGGCCGGGTGGCCTCACCCCGTGGAGCGGATCACCGGAGCCGGAGTGTCCTACCTCGTCAAGGTGAGAGTCCCCGCTGCGCCATGGGGCAACTCCGTCTACGGGGGCATGCTGCTTTTATTATTATTACTGATACTACTACTGCGCCTCGTACTGCGCGACGAACCCAGCGACCCAAGTTCGCTTCTCGCTCGCGGCCAACACCGGTGACGAATATCTGAACCGGTCCCGTACCTCCACTAGGTCGACTCATCCTCAAATGACTACCCGGTGCAGTGTCGTGTAAACATCATCATTGGGGAGACTAAGGAGGCTGGGCATAATGTTGGCCGGCCACCCCCTCGTGTGCCCTGCCGGCGTTCATAGGTGGCCGTTAACAACCCCTCGTCCTAACGATGCGTTAAAGGCCACGCGGCGGGGGACCTTTGTCTTTGTGCGCAGTATCTGGGCTGCATGGAGGTGCTGCAGTCCATGCGGGCGTTGCCGTTCAGCACTCGCACTCAGCTGACCCGGTGAGTCTCCACGGCAACCGCGCCTCGCCGCCACGGCAACCGGCCAGGGGATCCTGCGCGAGAGACGTTAGCGGCTCGCGATCCATGCGGCCGCGGTGCGGACGGAGCGGCGGCCGAGGTGGAGTGGGGGGCGGGTGGGGTGGGGTGGGGGGGCTCGCGAGTGGGAGGTGAAACTCCAAGGATTCCACCGGTGCAAAGTTCCTTCAGTTCGTTTCCCGTGCCAGATTCGCGAACCAGAGGTCGCCGGTTCGATTCTGGCGGAAGTTGCAACAGTGGATGCGAGTTTTCTCGAATTCCAAATTCTCCTCCCTCCCCACACCTCCCTCACCACATCTGTCTACCCAGCCAGCATAGAAAATGGGTAACACCACGGTTTGATCGGCAGGGTCACGGGCGGTGGGGTCGAGAGTGGGTACGCCCATCTCTTCCAAGATGTGTCTGACCATAAGGTTGCCACCTGTCCCGGGTTTGACCGGGTACAGTCCGGAAAGTTGGCATTCGTGTTGGGGCAGCAGCGGTAAATTGGTTTTGTACCGAGATCTGTCACCGTTCTTGTTGTGTTGAACTGTTGTGGCAGTGTTGATGGACCTCGGGATTTAGTCTGTGGAAAAAACCCTAACCCTAACCCTATCTAGCCAGCGTCGGACGAGTAGGCCAAATACACTCTAGAGAAGCCTTCTTGAGCTCCCTCGAGTTAGGAGCTGTTCCGCGAGCGTCAGCACCGCACCAGTGATTGCGTGGCTGCGCCTTTAGGTCGGAGCAAGTTGAGGGCGATTGTTTTGCCGGGGACCACCACACATCGTCGCCGCGCCGTTTCCCTTTTATTTTATTTTCCGTTCAACAGCGAAGACGAACCGTGCCTACGCGCGGTTGCTGTCATGCTTTCCCACGCGCCCCGGGGAGTGCCGTAGGCCACTGTGGGACCTTGGGGCTCGCATAGCGGCTCTGCCCGGGAGGGGGGGCGTTTTGACCGGTAGGGTCGGGGCCGCCGAGGCGGGGTCCTTTAGCGCTCCTTTGAGTCTCCGCGCGATCAATGTAGCCGGCTTTCGATGGGTAACATTCCCTATATCAACGCAACTTTATACTGCACTACAGTTTGGTTCGTATTGGATCTGTACGTGGAGCCGCCCCTCGGAGTACGGCGAGTTGGGGCGACCGCCCCGGGCCCCGCGGTTTGGGGGGCCCCGCACTTTGACATCACGGTGTCTGATCTAATTCTTCCAGTTTAGTTTGAAGTCATTGGAGTGGGGGAGGGAGGTCCACTCGCTGTGGGTTGCCCCGGGCCCCGCACTAACCACGGGAGGGGTCCCGTGGTCAGTCTTGTCTGTACGGCAGTTATTGTGACGATCCGTTTACAGGCGGACGGAGCCGAGACGTTGCCGCTTTCAGCCAGAGGGGGAGGCCAGACGGTGTCAATGAGACTGCAGGAGAGGTCTGTGAAGGGCGTGCGTGTTGACTCCCGCACAGTAGCAACGCAGTACGCCAAACAGAGTCTCAAGGCTACATTGGGATGTTTTAAAAAAATATTTAGCGATGGGAGGAGAAACTGGAGAACCCGGAAGAAACCCAAGTAAAACAGGGGGGAGGACAAAACTCCACGCACACAATCAAGGAAAGCCTCACTGAGTCTCAAGGCTCATTTTCAGGAGGGTCCTACCTAGTGTTTGCAGTAGAAGGGGCGATGCTGCTGCTGTACATAACCCCAATTGAGAAATTTGCAGGTAATTTTAATAATTGGGATGTTATGGCCAATAGCAGTTACATTGTTTAGCTATGGGAAAAAAAGAACCCAGAGGAAACCCTTGCAGAATAGGAGGAGAACGTGCAAACTCCACTCCGAGTCGGGAATCGAACCTATGTCCTTCTTGCGGCAAGGCGCCCTGCCGCCCGACGAGCAGACCGCGTAGTTCGTGCGACGTCCACGGCGCCGGGCAGAAGGAAGGGAGCGAGGGCGCTGCGGACAGTATCCTGCGTGCCGAGCGTGGCACCGCCAGCGGCAGTGGCCCTGACGACCTCGCGACCCCGTGACCTTGGCAGGGTCACCCCTTAACAGCGCCGACATGAGTCACCCCACTGGCAGACCGGTGGACGCAGAGAGGCGGCGAGAGGAGCCCACCCTCCTCCACCCTCCTCCTCCGCCCTCCTCCGCCCGTCATTGTTCTCCTCCGCACCCCACTCAGCCTCCCTCCCTCCCGTGGAGCCTCCATCGATCTCGTCGTCCATTAGCCGGCCTCGTCCTCCCCCCGGCGACCGTTAATGGCCGCAAGCGAAGCCGGTGGGTCGATGAAATCGGAGAGAAAGCCGAGCCGCCGAGCCGCGGCGCCATGGCTCCGTGCCACCCGGCCGCGCGGCCCTCGGAGGAGGGGACGTGGGTGGCAAGGGCGATGGGAGCGCGGCGGTGACGCTCGCGCCGGGCAGCGTGGAGGGGCCCGAGTTCCATTCCAGACTCGGGCACCTTTCGACAACAACAACAACCTCGCTCAACTCTAGAAACGTTTAGACGATTCTTATCTGTGACAGCTTTGACCGTGCTGCCTTGCTGCTGGACGCGTGGCGTTATGGGGCTTTTGGAATTCCCTCCCGTCGTCTCTTTCCCGAAGATTATTCGGTTAATTCTAGAAACCTTACCGAGCCCCTAGTTTCTTTGTTTCTGCAGTAGGAGGCGATGATGCTTCTGCTGCCGTTGCTCCTGTGTGTGTGTGATCCCAACTAAGTAACGCGCTGGTGATTTTTCAGCGATTGCACGTTTGGCCGAACACAGTCACAATGATTGGTGTGGCCATGGTAGGAAACCGGAGAAGGCCAAGGAAACCCATGCAGAGCAGAGGGAGACAACACACAAACTGCACACAAGAAAGGCCGATGCCAGTTGCATTGCATTCTTTTTCCAGCTAGAACTTCGATGGTGCTGTTCGTGTGACGTTTTTGGCCCGTTTTGCGCCTGTGCTCAACAACTCTGTTACATAGTACACCATTGAGACACAGACGTTATTTTCGTGATGCTGCTCAGTGCCGGATTAAGCAAAGTGTGGGTCCTGTAGCATATGTTATAAAGGGGCCCTAAATAAATAAGAAACAAATATAAAAAAAACAATTTTACTCGCATAGTAAAGTAATTGTATTTTTTCATTTGCTATACAGCCAGATAATATGACAAATCGCTAACCTTAATCACCCAGTCGTTCATAAAAGTTGAATGCAGTATAGTACTATAGTAACAGAGCAAGTGCAGAATCACTGAACCGGAATTGATAGCTTGAAAGCCCTTGAAAGTGCGGGGCCCGTAGCTACTACACATGGAGTTGTACTGCTGCTGCAGCATTGGCAGTGGCGGTGCCCCAAGCGCAATTTACGACAAGAAACCCCGACAACGTTTCTCGCACACGGGTTTTGTTATCTCAGCTGGCGAAGCCCCGCTGAGCCACGCAGATCTGTGGCAAGGTCGGCCACCAGTCCAGAACCATCGCCGATGGCTGCGGTTACAGGACATTGCAGCTACACAAGAGTTACAGAGAGACCCATAGAGTAATATAGAGACCCATAGAGTTACAGAGGGAACCATCGCGTTACATGAAGACCCACAAAATTACATAGAGACACAGAGAGTTACATAGAGACCCAAAGAGTTACATAGAGACCCATAGAGTTACATAGAGATCCATGGAGTGTGGAGGGAACGTGCAAACTAACGCGATCTTAAACAATAAATTATCCACAGGGAACCCCTGCTAAAACTTGACACTCGTCAAAAAACAGTGGCCTTAGAAGGAAAACAATATATAATATATATAATAGGCGACGTTTCGGGCAATGGCCAATACTTCATGGCATGTAAACGGAAAGGTCAGAAAAGGTTTAAAACGACTGGATGCACAGAGAACGGTGCGGGGGCGTGATAAAGCCGCACGAATATCCAGGAAATACGAACAACGCTGCTGCTGATGCCGCTGCTGCTGATGCCACTGCTGCTGCTGCCCCTAATCCCATGCATTATTTACGTGCCCCTGTTGTGCATCTCACGTGACAGAACCTTCCCGAAGCTGGTAGCTTGCAAGGACCATGTCCGTCCGTATTCATCATCGCCCGTTCGTATTAATCGCCCCAGTTGTTTGCTCTGCGGCGAGATTGTGAATGGCCTGGGCCGCGTCATGGGAACGTGACATTTCCACCGCTGCCTGTTCAGGGCTGGAAACGTGAGATGAGAAACCAACGCCTTGATGGTCATGTAGGCAGAACATAACTTTTTACTTTTTGTGTGTGTACGTGTGTATCTTTGTGTATCTGTGCCTTGTGTGTATCTTTGTGTATGTGGCGAGCGGCGGTGTCGCGGTTCTCACGCTGCACTACGAAGCCGGCGACCCGAGTTCGATTCCCGCTCACGGCCAACACCAGTGACGATTATCTTAACCGGTCGTGGACCTCCTCCCCTAGGTCGACTCAGCCTTAAAATTAGTATCTGTGCGATATGTGAACATCACCGTTTGGGAGACAAAGGCGGCTGGGCGTGGTTGCTGGCAACATCGCCCCCTCGTGCGCCGTACCGGCCTTCATAGGTGCTCGCAAACAGCACTCGCCCCAGCCGCCTGTGTAGACTACACGAGAGATCTTTTGCCTTTGCGTGTGCGTGTGTGCGTGTCCCAGGGAGGTGATCGCGCGTGTGAGCGACGTGTGTCCCTCTACCAAACCCGGCCTCAAGAAGCGCAAGGCGAGTATACTGACCGAGTCCAGCATCATGCAGCAACACGAAGCCTCTTTCCCTAAACCTGCTCAAGCCTCCCGTGCAAGCTCCCTTCTGTTCGCTCCTCTCTGCCTCTCTCATCATCGTCGTCATCATAATTTCCCTCTCATGGCCAGCATGTACGTTGAACTTCTTTCGCACCGTACGTAGCTAACCACGCTAATCGGAGGTGCGGGGGAAGGACAACAAACTAAACACAAAAAGCAGTTCTAGAGAAATTAGTTTTCAAACAACATTTAAAAGTGCCTACTAGCTCCAGTGGATTCCTAATGTCGGAAGGAAGAGCGTTCCAGACGGCCGCAGAAGCGCACGATGCGCTTTCAGATGATCAGCATCGCCACCTACTGCAAAAATAAAGAAACTAGGCAGGACCCTCTTCAAAAGGATCTTGAGACTCAGTGAGGCTGTAGTGTAAACAAGCGACATTATAACAATAATCATCCACGTGTGGTTTGGACTGTTTGTGTGTGCGGCGCCCCCTGCAGCCTGTGGACAAGGCCGTGGAGGAGGCCCTGGGGCCCACCAACCAGAGCTTCTCAGGCCGCAGCATCACCCTCACCATCAGCCTGGGCAACGTGAGCCTCACCACCGTGGACGGAAAGCAGGTTCGGGCCACACACCGCCAGCCTCACCACCACCGGCCTCACCTCTCCGGCCTCACCCGCAGTCGCCTGCCAACACAATCAGCCACACCGCCAGCCAGAGACATCGGCAGCTCACCTCCGGCCTCACGGCCAACTCATCGTCAGGCAGCCATATCGGCAGTTCGCCTTCAGCCACGCTTCCAGCCACACCGCCAGCCTTCCACGAGCACACCACCAGCCAGCCACACTTCCAGCCACACCTCCAGCCTCTCACCGCCAGCGTCGCCGCCCTTCGGCCATGCCGGAATTTTGCCGCCAACCGCACCGACAGCCAGAACCGTCCCTAGGGGTACCGGCGAATCGGCGGCAATCATCGCTCCCTGCTGCTAGACCGAGTCGCCTTGCGCCACTGGCCGTGCCCTCGTCGCTGCTCGTGCGTCACGTGACCCACCCCCGTCGGAAGCCGTGGTGTGCGGTTTGCTATCGCCCGTCGCCGGGATTGCACGAGGAAGCCGGGACGTACGGCCGTGGGACCCTCAATCGGCCCTTTTGTGTTTGACGCCTGCGCTGCCACCCCATTGGTGCTGCCGCCGTTCCTCCGGTGCGACGTCCCGTCCCAGCAGGGCCCTCCGCTGCTGTCGTCCTCCACGACGGTCGGCGTGTCATCTTAGCCGAGCCGGTGGTCGGTGCGATCGAGCCCGAGCGCCGGTTCGTGTACCAGTGTCCACGGCCTCGCGCGCCTCCGGTTAGCGGTGGGGCTGTAATAGGTGACGCGATCTTCCCAAGAGTGTTCATCACCTCTGCCCGTTCTGTTCGCAGATCATCGCCACCCATCACATGCAGTCCATCTCGTTCGCGTCGGGAGGCGACATGGTGAGGACGAGGAGGCTCGTGTAAGGCAGCGGCTGCCGATGGTTCTCTCTCGCGGAGTGCTCGGGTCCCGTTGTGGAGGAGCCGAGAGGCCACCGCTGGCCGTGGAGGCAGCTGAGGGTTGGCGGATCACACATTTGCGAAAGTCGATACCAGCGGGAGTCGGGGCCGCTGTTTCTCCCGGCTTGCAAGGGTGCGATGGTAGTCCAGCAAGCGGGTTAATTCCCAGCTGTACGGGGATCGAGGGTTACCCCCCTCCCACTTACGGGGTTTTCTCCGGGTTGCTCCGGTTTCCTCCCGCATGTATAAACACTCATTCATTGAGGGCCCAAAAATCTCAATATAGGATTCAATCCCAGCTGTACGGGGATTGAGTGTTGCCCCCTCGCACACGTGGGTTTCTCCGGCTACTCAGGTTTTCTCCCACGTGTATGACCACTCATTACAAATGAAATTGGCCAAACATACCAATATAGGATCACGCAGCTTGGGCAATTGTTGCCACTAACATTCTGGCTGCCTTCCCGACACTTGCCCGTGATTTTCCACATCTCTGAATCAGTCTTTTCTCTCTCTCCCGCTCTCTCTCGTTCACTCTGAGAGTGAACGAGCGTCGCGCGCGACACAGCTCGCGAGTGCCTTTGACGCGCGAACGATCTCGCGCCAACCGCCCGCGTTTTCTGTTGCCGCAGGACATGGCCGACTACGTGGCGTACGTGGCCAAGGACCCGGTCAACCAGAGAGGTGAGTCCAAGGCCGGGCCCCACGCCCGCTGTCTCCCCGGCACCACCTCGGTGCCGGGCCGCCGCGCCACCCGAAATCCTCCTTGGGAATAAATGTTTTTATCTTAAACGTGGTAGATTTAGAATTGATACGGTGAGTCCTATTTACGTGGAGATGCTCCCCGCAAAAACGAGATTTTTGGCGAAACGACATAAATTGAAACCTGCTTTACCGTTGACTTAATGGTTAAAATTTTAGGATGTGTTCCAGGGTGGGTATTTTTTTCGTTGTTAAAATTTTGCTGACAAAAAATATTAAATTAACACCGAAATCAATATAACAAATATTACCCAAAAATATGTAATATGAGAAGTTGAAATAAATAATATAACGTTTTATGGAGTACAGCGACTCCTCTACTTATGAACGAGTTAGGTTCTAGAGATCTGTTCGTTAGTCGATTTGTTCGTAAGTACAACTTTACTCCTGTCGATGCCAAACGTGTAGTTCGGCATGTACACTAAACACGGGGAATGGATTTAAACGTTATATCATCTCCTGCAGATGTAGATGCCACTGGTTCCTCACGTTCTGCAGATGTAGATGCCAGCACCGCCAACTATTGCGCGGTGGTTGAACTTATGAATATTGTTCCAAACAGGGCATTGGACATACGGACCAGGTTGTTTGTATCTCTGAAAGTTCGTAAGCAGAGGAGTCTCTATCATCACCGGGACATGGCAGCGGAGATGACATTCAGAGAAGGGGGAGCAGTGTTCCAGTGTGGCGATGTTGTCACCGCTGAGTCCGAAATGCCCGCTTGGGGGCGCTGTAGCATTGTCCGTCACCGCACGCCACCCAAACACACCGCGTTATTTTCTTTCACATTTTAAACGCAGCGAGTCCAACGCATTGCGAATCGAATTGCGTTCCCTAATTCGTTGGCGACGTTGTCGTGAAGCAACGTAAATGGGAGCAACGTAAACGGAGAACTTACTGCGATAGTTACTCTTTGGTTTTTTTGGTAAAGTCACGTAGGTGAAAATAAAATAAACTTCAAATCTAGAATTACTGCGATAGGTTTTAAAAAGAAATTGCGCTGGTCATTCGGTGACCAGGCTGGCACCACCACCAAGACGCTGCGCTAGGCCCAGCGGTATAAAGAGACGCTGCGTTTCCTTCACGTACAATCCGTGAGTCCACGTAAAAAATAAAAGCCTTTCTCACACAAGCCATCAGCCACGCGGCCTTCGGGGAGTGCAGAATTTCAGCAGCATCGATTCAAGATAAGCAAACACTGGACCACCGATTTTAACACTTGGTGTTTCATCAGCAGAGTCGGGCTTGGCTTGAAGCAACGCTCGTGAACTGCCGATCTTAGAGCCGAGTAGCCTCTGTTTACGCCATGTGCCCTAGTCCTGGTTACAGGACTAGGCTTCGGGCCAAGCGGAGCGAGTTAATGCTCCCTCCTTCTCTCACACTTGGACATCGCCCTGCGTCTCCTCCTCCCCTCCCCCCAATCTCGTCTTCCTCTGACCGCGGACACGGTCTCCTCGCCCCCCGTTTATCACCCGTCTGCCCGCCCGCTCGTCAGCGTGCCACGTGCTGGAGTGCGGGGAGGGCATCGCCCAGCAGGTGATCGGCACCATCGGCCAGGCGTTCGAGCTGCGCTTCCGGCAGTTCCTGCAGAGCCCCGGCCCCATGCGCACCGGTCACGACAGGTGGGCGGCCGCACCGCCACGAGAGAACGTCGGTACGGTGTAGCAACTGCGCGGCACGTCGCAGCGCCGGTTTCACCTGCGTTGTGCGCGGCAGGGGCTCGGAGGACGAGCGGGACCCTCGCTGCAACTACTACAACAGCGTGCTGGGCAAGGAGCCTCCGGCAGGGGGCCTGCTCGACACTCGCCTGCAGGTCCGTCCGTGCGCCGTCTATTTCACAGATGTCCGGTAGTTCACCCATGCAGCACAGGGGCGAACACACAAACGCCACACAAAGATCCCCCGTATAGCCTTAGCATACTGTTGGGGAAAGTGCTGTGCTGGCACAGCACACGACGGGGTGGGTGGCCAGCACCACGCCCGACTGCCTTTGTCTCCCCAGTGGTGATGTTTACACACAGCACGAGGTACTCATTTGAGGCTGAGTCGACCTCGGAGAGGCCCAGATATTCATCACTGGTGTTGGCCGTGAGCGGGAATTGAACTCGGGTTGCCGAGCGCAGTGCGCTAACCACTGCACTACCGATCAACCCACTCCGCACACGCATACATTCTCACTCCACAAACACCCCCACTCCACACACGCACACTCCCTCACTCCACACACGCACACACTCCACACACGCACACACTCTCACTCCACACACGCACACTCACTCCACACACGCACACACCCCCACTCCACACACGCACACATTCTCACTCCACACACACACAGACCCTCACTCCACACACGCACACTCTCTCACTCCACACACACACAGACCCTCACTCCACACACGCACACTCTCTCACTCCACACACACTCACTCCACACACACACACACACCCTCACTCCACACACCAAAACCCACCGCGCGTTCGCAACAACAATAAGCAAGCATCACAGGAGCTGTGCGTGTGCCTGTTTCTTCTTCCTCGGTCCGCGTGGACGCAGCTGAGTGTGGTGCACACGGAGGGGCTTCCCTTGCTCGAGATTCCGGTCAGCTGCAGCCCGGGCAGGAGGAAAGGCAAGTAGTAGTCAATGCTAAGATTTACTATCCCAGTTATTGTTGCGTTTTTTTTAATTCTCATGGGTCCCCCTGAGTTATGATCCCCGTTGCGCGATCGGCACCGTGGTGTCGTGAGACCGAGATGGAATCGGAAGCCGCAGTGAGCAGTGTATCACCCCGTTTCTGAGGAATATCCCTAGAAAAACGATGTCACGGAATTCCTTCTGGGGCTCATCGCCGATATCAAAATATGTTTGTAATTTGTAACGTGTGCAGTGTCGCGCTCGCTCTCAAAGAGACAAGGAGAGAGAGAATGATTCGGAGGCGTAGGACACCACAGACTGACGCTGCCAATAATTGCCCAAGCTCTCTGGCCCTACATTGGGACGTTTGTCCAACTCCACGAGGGAGCGTTTGTACAGCGACAGGCCTCCTTATCTCGACAAGGGCCGTGGCCCTGTACACGCCCCGTGAGGAGTGCCTGCCGCGTGCCGGTTTAAACCGCTTTACATCTCGTGCGGCTGGAATTTGGCCTTTTGAGTGAAAGAAAAAATGTTTGCGCTTAAACTTGCACGATTCTATCCCCCGTCGCGCCGTCGGTGCTACATTGTGGGGTGAGAAGGGTTTCCTCCCGTACAAGAATTGGTTGACACCTCAATAACACGTGTATTTATTTACCAAGTGAAGCCCACTGAGCTATTGGCTACATAAAGGACCACAGAGGTTGGGCAACTGTTGGCAGCGAAAAATCCGCGGTGGCGCGTTCGTGTCGTCACTCTTACGATAACGGGGGCTACACGGGGGGGTGGGGGAACCTCCGTGTTTGTGAGTGCGCGCAGGCGTGGGCCTCGTGTCGTGGGACCGCCCGACCATCCCCGAGCCCCCGGCGGCCGAGCCTGGAGGCCGCTGCTACGTGAACACGAGGCTCGGCGGTGGGGCCGCGGCAGGGGACGCCGCCCAGCGGCGCCCGTTCGCCGCCACCGCCGCGTCCCCCCGCGACGCCTTCGACATGCGTGAGTGGCGCCGCAGCAGCAGCAGCAGCAACATCGGTTGGCAGCTCGCTGGTTGCTCATCGTGTTTCTGAAGGCACGGGGTGCTGATGGCACGCCCCTGTCTCTCTCGACGCCGACGACTAACGCAAAACCCGGCGGCGTCCTGTCCCGGCAGGGCCGTTCCACGACGCGCTGGCGCCACCGCAGGGGGTCCCGGCGAGCGGCGGCGGCGTGGACGCCGCCCTGCGCGCTGAGACTTGGTACCACGGCCCCATCGCCCGCAAGGACGCCGAGACGCTGGTGCGACGCGACGGGGAGTTCCTGGTGCGCGCCAGCACCAGCAGCCGCGGACAGTTCGTGCTCACGGGGTCGCAGGGAGGCCTGGCGCGGCACGTGCTGCTCGTGGACCCGACGGGCGTGGTGAGCGCCGGTGCCGCTTGGCGGAACCCCGATTGAGTTTTAGAACGACAGCTCGGGACGGTGCGGAGAGAGACGCGGCGCGTGCGGGTTGCCGGAGCAGCCCTGGAGGCTACGGCGGGGCAGCAGCGTGGAGGCAGCGACTCCAGTGCCTCTCTGTGGAGTGCTCTGTGTTCTCTGTCTCCCCCTGTTCCGCATGGGTTCCTCCGTGGTTCCCCGGTTTCCTCCCATGGCTAAAAAACATCCAATATCATTCGTGTTGGCCAAATATCCCAATGTTGCAGGAATCTCCTGAAAGTCTTCTGGACTCAATGGTGGCTTTCGTCGCTTGATGGTTGGTGAGCCACATGTTCCTGGGAGGCTCAGAATTGTGAGCGCTGGGCTGGCAACCACTGAAATGGTGGATTCCAACCTCGATAGCCACCTTGGATTCCAACAGAGCAGCAGCGACTCTTATGATTTTATTTGTATAAATCGTGTGGTGTTTCACGACTGTGGGTGTTGCGTGCGTGTGTCTGCGTGCGTCGGCGTGCAGGTCCGCACTAAAGATCACCGCTTCGACAGCGTGAGCCACCTGATCCGCTACCACCGTGACTTCCGACTGCCCATCATCTCGGCCGGCAGTGAGCTGTGCCTCGTGTGGCCCGTGGAGAGAAGGCAGCCGCTGCCATAGCGCCCGCCCGCCACCAGCCAGCCTGCCAGCCAGACCAGCCACCCTCTCGCCAGCCCATCCCCCTGCAAGCCCACCTGCCCGCCCGCCTGCCCACACACATTATCGCGACCTTGCCTGTCTGGCCAAACACACGAGCACACCACACACACACGCGTGCGCGCGCACATGCACCGGCAAGTATGGCCGTGCACATTTCGAAGGGCCTCACAACGTGGCCTGTTTTTGTCGTTCACCGATGAATAAGGGAGGGGTGGGGGGGGGCACTGAGTGGCATCCCGTCTCAGGATCCTCTGGGCAGCCCCGCTGGCAAGGGAGGTGTGCGTCAGGGGCAAGCTGATGATGGCAGTCACGACACGGCCACGCTGCAGCATGCACAGTTGGGGGCAGTCGCCGCTAGCGAGCGCCTATTAACGTCTGCACGGCACGCGCGAGGTGACGGCGTGGCCGAGGTCGTACCACACGCCCCCCCCCCCTTCGTCTTCCCAATTGCGATGTTTACACGCCACCAACAGGGGCGCCCTTTTTAAGGTCGAATCGACCTGGGGGAGGTCGACCAGCGATTCCGATATCGATCACCGCCGACGAACTCGGACTACCAATATCAGGGATATCGCCCTGCTGTCGCTTAAAGGCCCCGCCTCTACCTTACAGGCCCCGCCTCTACCTTACAGGCCCCGCCTCTACCTTATAGGCCCCGCCTCTACCTTACAGGCCCCGCCTCTACCTTAAAGGCCCCGCCTCTATTTTATAGGCCCCGCCTCTACCTTACAGGCCCCACCTCTACCTTACAGGCCCCGCCTGTATTTTATAGGCCCCGCCTCTACCTTACAGGCCCCGCCTCTACCTTAAAGGCCCGCCTCTATTTATAGGCACCGCCTCTACCTTAAGGGCCCCACCTATACCTTACAGCCCGCCTGTTTTTTATAGGCCCCGCCTCTACCTTAACAGCCCGCTCTACCCTTAAAGACCGCTTACCTATAGGCCCCACCTCTACCTTATAGGCCCCACCTCTACCTTACAGGCCCCGCCTCTACCTTACAGGCCCCACCTCTACCTTACAGGCCCCGCCTCTACCTTATAGGCCCCACCTCTACCTTACAGGCCCCGCCTCTATTTTATAGGCCCCGCCTCTACCTTTAAGGCCCCGCCTCGACCTTATAGGCCCCACCTCTACCTTAAAGGCCCCGCCTCGACCTTACAGGCCCCGCCTTTTTCGCCTGGCCTTTGAGCGACACCGAGCTTGGCTCCACGCATCAGACTCGCCGTCTGCGAAATGTATCGTGCGTGTTACAGAATTGCATTATCATTGTTATAAAAAGGTCACTTGGACTTTCCGTCACCATATAAAGAAGATAACGTGGCGTCGATTACAGGGACTCCTCGACTTATGAACACTTGACTTAGGAACTTTCGAGGGTCGTAAGTTCAACCGCCGTGGAATAGATGGCGGTGGTGGCATCTACATCTTCAGAACGTGAATAACCGTGTGGGATCTACACCTACAAGAGATTATGCAAATTTTAAAGACATTCCCCGTGTTTATTGTACACGCTGTCCAACATTTTTGGAATCGACAAGAGTAAAGTTGGACTTACGAACAGACCTCTGGAACCTAACTCGTAAGTAGAGGAGTCCCTGTCCTCATCGAAATCCATTCCGAGTCTCGCCCGTCTGTGCGTGGTGAAAAAAAAAATATCGTTTAAAATGTATGCCATTTATATGCGAGCGCTATGCTAACGCAACCCCGAGGCTAATGGGGCAAATCGATTTGTACATACGAGACGGAACGAATGGGAAAACGATGCAGACAGTACGGTAAAAATTTCACGAAGATTGTCGTTGCTTGAATGAAAATTGCGACCCTCTATTTATCTCTATCTAGATTAGCTCAAGCCTCCCATAAATCACGTGGCTTCTGTGTGGCCACCCCCACTCTGAATCGCCCCCCTCTCCTCCCCGCCCACTGTGAAAACAGACGCCGCTCGTCCATGCAGTAGTGACACGGACCTTGTGTAGCCTCTTCCGATCATATTTCCTGATCCTTTCTTCCCATGTCTCTGTTCCTTTTCCATCTTTTTCCTCTTATTTGCCATTATTTCAATTATCTCTTCCCCTTGCCTTGAATTTCCTCTCCTCGCATGCATTGCATCATCGACTCTATGAAAACAGAGTCGATAGTCACGACAATTTGTCTAAATGCCAGAGTTTTTGTTTTCATTCATCCCTCGGGATGTGGGCGTCACTGGCAATCCAGAAATTATTGCCCATCCCGAGTTGCGCTGAGAAGGCGGCGGTGGTGGTGATGGATCTCAGTCTTCTCCTTGAACTGCCCTTGTGTGGAGGGATGCCACCCCCACAATTCCGCTTGTGCCTGGGAGCTACAGGATTATGACCGAGCCTATGATGGAGAGGCCACAGATGTAATTTCGTGACTCTCACAAAAGCAGCCGCACTAAGGACAGTATTATACACACGTTCTTCGCTTTAAAATTCGGCCGATTATTAATGAGCAGCAGCAGCCAGCCTTTGGACTCAGATAACAAGGGGGGCATGTCGTAGGAAGAGAGGGGAACCACATCAGGTGCGGTGAGCGTAGAATAGGTGTGCCACCTTTCCCACTCGACCAACCCCGCACATGTTTCTCAGATGGCACGAGGCCCATCAACAACTGTGCAGGGTAACTGCAATAAAGTTCACCACAATACCGGTATCAGATCTCATTACAAATCAATTCCTTCCGCCCGAACTCTCTCTGTGTGAGCCGTGACCTTTCTCAAAGACGTCAGCGATCATGGCCTTTCCACCATTTATCTCTGTCCGTGATGCTCATCCAAGGACTTGGCATTCGATCCTCCCAGTTGCATCCAATTATTCAAATTGCTTACGTAACTGAACTCGCTGTCTTTCCTGGCTTCTTGCGGGACCTCTGATGTTAACCGTCAAAACCACATTTACATTCATTCTCTTGTTCTCACATTAAACATCCAACTTTGCCTTTCTATCATCAATTTTTATTTGCTATTTTTGTACGTTGCTGCTATCTGTATTATGGACACGGATGCCAATTCCAGAACTGTCCCCGGTCAAACCCAGACAGGTGGCAACCCTGTGATGGAAGGACCAGGGGCAGGTGACCGAGGGGCAGAACGAGAGAGGGGTGGTGGGGAGTGGTGAACCGGTCTACGGGGGGTTGTGGAGGGGACGTGGGGATGTTGACACAGGACAGGAGTAGAGAAAGAGGATGAGGGAGACAGATCCCACAAGCATGGGGGTAATGCCATCAAGAATGGCCAGCCCTGTCGACTGCAAGTGCAGTCGCGTGGCGGGGTCGACATCGGCCCTGGTGCAACCAATTAAACTGCCCCCTGTCCAATTTCTCCCTTCGTAGCCCGGTGCCTGGGACCCCTGCGGTGGCCGCGTGTGCCCCGGTGCAGTTGCACCGCCTGCACACTCGATAGCCACGCCAACTGCCGCAGCGCAGTGCCGCATTTCCCTGCGGAGCCGCTCGCTGCCAGGGAGGCAATCTGACGATGTGCTTGGGCAGGGTATTCACCTGCCACGACAGCCCCCCCTCCTCCTCCTCGATATCCTCTCTCTCTCTGCCATCATAGGCCACCACCGCAAACCCGATCACCGGGCACCCGAGACACGTTTACACCCTCGTCAATCCGGAGCGGTCGGGAGTGGAAATTAAATATTTAGCAACCGGACCAGACCTCGTTATTTAAACCTCGATACGAAGTGTTCCGGCTCAAAAGCACAAAACTCCTCGAGCCGCTATTCTTTTGACAAAAAAGAATTACGTAGGAGAAACGGGCCGCTCGCGAACGCGGTACTTTGAGTTTCCAGCTGGTTACGGCCACTGCGGCCAGCGATGGGGCCAGCTCACAGCACTAGTAAGTGCCTTGGTTCTGTGAATATGAAAGAGAGAAGGGAAAAAATTCCGAGTCAAGCTTTTGTACAAAGGTTCGAAACGGTCGATTTTTTTGGGCTGTGTTGGAGGTCAAATTCCCACCAGCCTGGGCCTCAGCTGGTCATCGTGCTCGCCTTTAAAACCTGGAATAGTAAACGTTTAAACTGGACAATGTACTTACACGGACATGTATGAATTTCTTAAATAAAATTACTCGTGGAATGTTTTGTGAACGCGCGTGCGTGCGTGCACGAGTTGTTGATTTGTTTTCTTAGTGCGTACGAAAAGGAAACCCCCAAAGCGTTCTCGTGGAGGACTTGGCACGTGCGGCCCCCGTGTCAATCCACTGCTGGATGAGGGCCTCCTTCCCCACGCCGTGCGCGTTGTCCTTGAGCAGAGAGCAAGTTTCACGGTGAAACTCTTCACCGGTGGTTTCACACCACTGCCACTCTTGCTGCCCAACCCATGGCATCGGCAGCTGCCCTCTAGCAGACCGGTACGTGCATGGCGGTTGCCCTAGAATGGTGTCGCTGGTAGTTTTCCACAGCGTACGGGGATGTATTTAAGTCGTAGGGCGTACGCCAATGTGATCGGTTTAGCCGGTGGGTTCTTAACCTTTACTGCAGCCTTGCACCCCCTTTGGTTCTCAATCTTAAAACAAAATGTATAATGTTCATAACTACACGGGGTTTGATGAAACAGAGTAGTTGTATTTACATACCCCGTGTTTAATTTGTGTTTAGATGATGTACCTTCTTAAACAAATCTGGCCATGTCACGCACCCCCAGAAAGAGCATCTCGCACCCCAGGTCAAGAACCTCTGGGTTACACAATCGGGCTTCAAAATTTGTTCCATTTTGGAAATTTCAGGTAATGGTTATAATCATTGCTTTTTTGTTATTTGAAAATTGAACCTGACCTAAATAGTGCAGTTTACCGAGCGGTCGCCTTCCATCATTTAAAATGTCAAGGTTTATTGAAACGTAACATAGAATACCAAACTGGGCAGCACAGCATAAGACACAGTGGCCTTGGACACTGCCAGCGCCCCCAAGCTTATCGCGTTCCCCACCGACATGGAATCAGAATCTTTATTTTATTCATACCAGAGGAATCTGATGAGCTATAAAGCTATTTTCACACACGTCTTGTAAGCCCCCTTAAGGCGTGCCACCTGTGCAGCAAGGCCACTCGGGAGATAACCACTCCCAATGGACTCAATCTCCCAATTATTTAGTATCATTCTAGCGGGCGCAGGTTATCAATGCGTGCCACGACGCGTCTCCAACAAAGTACACGCAGCACAAATTGTCGACTTAACCCGTGATTGTATGTGCATAATCCGCACGTGTGGCGAGAAATGCATCAAACGTCTACAACCGTATTACCGTGACGGCATCGATGGTGGCGGGCAACGTTGCACGTGGCTGTAAGTCACCGCTGTGTTGTGGAACAGCAGCAGCGAGGGGTTGGTGAATCACATGCAGATGTTACGAAACGCCCTGGCTCGCCAGAAGGCGGGGCAAGTGTAGTGACATCGCTGGATGTCACCAGACTGTGGGTGCAGTGCCAGCCCTACAGGTCAGGGTGTGTGGGTGCCCACCAAAGGGGAAGGTCAGGTGAGGCCATGGCACTCTGGTTGACCCGGGAGGACACGTGACCGGTTAAGTCTACAAAGAGGCCCCAAGAGGGGGCTAGGGGGGTCACGTGATTGGGGCCCAGGGTGCTAGAAGGTGGGCGTGGCCAAGGGCGGAGCCGGCCACGCCCACAGAGAATATCAGCCGGGTCCCGAGAGGGACCGCCGGGGTTGTTGTTCATCCCGGGAAAGAAACCCTTCGTCTGCGATCTCCGTTCTACGAGTCTTCCAGCACGTGGACCCGGGCAGATGCTGTTGGTCCCGGGTCCGTAATAACAGTTACGTGGTAACTAGTGTAGTAACTAGTGTAGTTAGCCAGGTGGTCACCACCCGAGGTTGTTATTCTGTTAAGGGGAAGTTACCCTGTGTGTTGGAACTAAATAAAATGCGTTACCTCCAAAGTCTACGTCTGCGACTCTCACAAGCAACAATGTGGACTCCATCTGTTCCATCTGGAAGGGGATACAGCGTTTCCCCCTCGCACGAGTGGGGTTTTCTCCGGGTGCTCCGATTTCCTAACACGTGTATAGCCGACCGATAATTGGGTTAAGAACTACGGCACAAGGGGCTGTATGATGTCCCTCAAAGTCCACATCCTTGATGCTCCTCTTGATAAATTCAAGGAGAACATGGGATCGTACTCGGAGGAGCAAGGCGAGCGCTTCCACCAGGATAGACTGGACTTTGAACGCCGCTACCAAGGACAGTATCACGAGAACATGATGGGAGACTACATTTTGGCGTTGATTCGTGAATTTTATTTACAGTATAATCGGAATTCTCGAAAAACAACTCAACTTCTAAATCTTTAGTAGTATTGTTTGTATTACTTTTGTATAAATACGTGTTAATTTTGATTCATATCTAGTTTTTTCTGACTTTATGTGAACGAAAAGAAACAAATTCGCCCGTTTTCTCATTGAAAATAGGTAAATTTCAAACTGTTCTTTGCTTTTGTGTCCTGGTCACAAAAGCAAACTTTGTGGGGAATAATAGTCATTTTATATACCTTTTATGCATAAGCGATTACGAAATAACACTTATTGCCCAGGAACAAGACGAGATCCGTGGCTGTTGCGAGGGTTGGAGGTGGTGGGGGTGAGAGGTGGGGGGGGATGGGTGGGGGGGGAAGGGGTGGGGGTGAGAGGTGGGGGGGGATGGGTGGGGGGGGAAGGGGTGGGGGGGAAGGGGGGGGGGGGTGGGGAGGGGTGGGGGGGGGAAGGGGAGGGGGGGAAGGGGTGGAGGTGCCCCCGCGACTGCCGCCACCACCACGCGCTGCGCGTGTGCTGCAGTAAGCGCTGCTGCTATTGGCTGAGACGGAGGGAGAAAGAGAGGCGGGGGGAGTGGGAGGGTGGCGCTGGACCAATCGGCGCGCGCGTCTCTATCCGCGCGGACCCGGCGAGTGGTGGTGGTGGTGGGCCGCGGCGTCTCCCCCGCGAAGCGAGGCCACAACAACAACCACCACCACCACAACAACCACAACAACAACCACCACCACAACAACCACCACCACAACAACCACAACAACAACCACCACAACAACCACCCTCACCCTCTCATCCATCTCACGCGAAGACGACCAAATCCTCCGGGTAACAGTCGCTACAACCATCGTGCCGCTCGCGTTACACTCGGACGCGTCGTCGTGGTGGCGGCGGTGTTGTGTTGTGTGTGAAGTGGTGGTGTTGTGTGTGTGTGAAGTGGTGGTGTAGGGTTGGGTGTGAGGTGGTGGTGTAGGGTTGGGTGTGAGGTGGTGATGGTGTAGTGTTGTGTGTGGTGGTGGTGGTGGTGTTGGGTTGTGTGTGGTGGTGGTGGTGTTGGGTTGTGTGTGGTGGTGGTGGTGTAGTGTTGTGTGTGGTGGTGGTGGTGTAGTGTTGTGTGTGGTGGTGGTGGTGTTGGGTTGTGTGTGAGGTGGTGGTGTTGGGTTGTGTGAAGTGGTGGTGTAGTGTTGTGTGTGAAGTGGTGGTGTTGGGTTGTGTGTGAGGTGGTGGTGGTGGTGGTGTTGGGTTGTGTGAAGTGGTGGTGTAGTGTTGTGTGAAGTGGTGGTGGTGTTGTGTGAAGTGGTGGTGTAGTGTTGTGTGAAGTGGTGGTGTAGTGTTGTGTGAAGTGGTGGTGGTGTTGTGTGAAGTGGTGGTGTAGTGTTGTGTGAAGTGGTGGTGGTGTAGGGTTGTGTGAAGTGGTGGTGGTGGTGTAGTGTTGTGTGTGAGGTGGTGGTGGTGGTGTAGTGTTGTGTGTGAAGTGGTGGTGGTGTAGGGTTGTGTGTGAAGTGGTGGTGTAGTGTTGTGTGAAGTGGTGGTGGTGTAGTGGTGTGTGTGTGGTGGTGGTGTAGGGTTGTGTGAAGTGGTGTTGTGTGTGTGGTGGTGGTGGTGTAGGGTTGTGTGTGAAGTGGTGTTGTGTGTGAGGGGATGGTGTAGGGTTGTGTGTGAAGTGGTCAGAATCAGAAAGGGTTTTATTCGCCATGAAAGTTCGCACAGACAAGGAATTTACTTTGGCAGGAAGGTGCATACATTCAACATATAGGAATCTTAAATAAGTGGTGTACAAGTCTAACCATACTTAAGGTACAAATTCTAACTAATACTAAGGGGTTAAAGTATGTAAAAACGTTGATTAAAATAAAATATAAAATGTCTATAATATACAATATAAAAATGCAAATAGGGTAACATAGTGCAAATATGGCAAGGTGTCATTGCGCAGCCTCAAAGCAGTAACCCGGTGCAGCTGTGTGTAGTAGACATCGCGACTAGCGGGAGACTAAGGCGGCCGTGCGTGGGCTGGCCACCCACCCCCTCGTGTGCCACAGTGCCGGCCCTCACAGGTGCCACTCGCTAACAGCACTGGCCCCCCACAGTCTGCTAGAGGCCACACGAGACGGGGGGGGGGGTCTTTGGTTATTGGAGTCGGCGCTGTGGGGGATCGTGGCGTGTCCCGTGTCAGCGGTGTGGTTTGGGGTTAGGGTCGTGTCGGGACCAGGGTTTGGGTGGTGGGTTGGGGTTGTCAGGTGTCGGGATCGTGATTGTGGGCCCCCTGGGGTCCAGGCGTGCTGACTTGTGCTTCGTGTAAGCGTTATGGTTTGGCGGTCGGGAGTTCAGGCGATATGGTGAGATTCGGATGAGTAGTTTGGTTGATGTTAGTAAGGATCTGGGTGACGGTTGATGTCAGTGTGGGTTAGATTCGGGTGAGTAGTTTGGTTGATGTCTGTAGGGATCTGCGTGAGGGTGAATGTAAGTGTGGGCTAGATTGGGGTGAGTGGTTTGGTTGATGGTAGTAAGGATCTGGGTGTGGGTTCGGGGATTAAGGTTGAGTTGATGTTAGGGGTCAGGGTTTGCGTTGAGGGTTATGGTTCGGCTAACGTTTTGGATCTTGGACGAAGGTTGAGGCTGGGAGCGACGTTTATTGTTGGTTTCGAGTTGTGTTCGGGATTAGTCGGGATTAGGGTCGAGGTTTCGGTGCGACGTTTGTGTTACGGTGGGAATCCGGACTCGGATTGAGGTCGGGATTAGGGTAGAGACTTCGTCGGTACCGTGAGTTGTGATTGAGGCTGGCTTACTGTATATTGGAGGCGAGTTCAGGGCCGTTATGTGGAGAAAAGTGTGGTTCCAGTCGAGGTTTTGAGGTCGTGCTTGAAGACTGGATTTGGGATCGGAGTTAATGTTTGGAGTTGGATTCGAGGTGAGGGGTGGAGGTTGCCATTGTTGAGTTCTCCATTGAAATTAAGTTTGGGTTTTTGGGTCAGTGTAGAGTTGAGCTTGGAGCATGCTTGGATGGGTGGATCTCCGTGCATTTCAGTTGTTGTTGGCTGCCCGGGCTATGTTGTGAGCAGTGGTGGGCAGTGCAGCCACATACAAAGGTGGACTTATATTTGTTTTTGCCCTCCTCTTTAAATTCAACACTCACGTCTGCGCAACCTGCACTTAACCAGCGTGGTGAATATTGGTCACGGAAACCCCCCCCCACCCCCCGACACGACCCGGAGGGCGTGGGGAGGTCCTCCTCCAGTAGCGAGCCGATACAAACACTTGGTGACCGCGCACACAGATGTTTGAGGTCTGCATTGCTATTGAGGTTATCGTTGTTTTGTAGATCGCCGTTTGCTCCCGGAGAGTCCTCTGCACGCCCCGCGCACCCACCCAGTCGTCTCTAAAACTCAACGTCGAGCGATCCTCTCCTTCACGCGCGTGAACACATCGCCGTGCGCTGCTCGTCACCTCCGATCGCGTCGTCCACCGCCGGCAGCAGCGGACGAGCGACCCCCCCCCCCCCCCCCCAACGCGCCATGGACAGCGACGGGGAACGCGCGGTCGATGATCGGGGAGGCAGCCCCGGCGAGCGGGGGAGCCCTGACAGGGACCGCGACGAGAGGATCAAGACCGGTGAGAGGGCCGCCCCCTGCCCACCGCGCAGGGTGGCACGCGGCTACAGGCGAACAAAACCTGCACGGGCCCTGGTGAGGTGTTGCCGTGGGTAGAGGAGGGTAAAGGGTGAAGTTTGGGTTTCAGGGTACGGTGCGGGTCAGCGGGGAGAGGGCTTTTACCAGCGGCAGGTTTAGGGTCAGGGATAGAGTTGCTACTCATGCTTGGTTGAGGTCATTGAGAGGACAAGTCGAAGTGGTTGTTGTTGGTTCGTGTTTGGGGTAATGCTCGTACTGTGGTCACGTTTGTTGGGTTCGGTGAGAGGGCTGATAATAGTGGCTGGTTGGCCTCTTGGCTCAAGGTAGGCCTATTGGGAGTGGCTGGTTGGCTAGGGCTCGTACCATCAGGTTAATATCTCTTCAAGTGAATAAGTGGCAGTGCTATCCTGGTGGTCCTGAGCCAGAAGGAGAAACTCCACATTCCTATGCCTGGGGTCAGTCTATCCATAGATAACTACTGATGGTATCTATAAAAGTGGTAACCATATAATTGACTCCACAGAGATGATTTGCTGAGTTGTGCCAGCTCAGGAATTGATCTCGCAACCTTCCGATTGTGACACACGCCAAACCAACACACGCAATGTAATTGGCCAAGCACCCCAATGCAGTACTCCGACTGAACAATTATATTGCGCCTCAGTGAGGACGGTGATGTGGCCTAGCAGTAGCGCGCGCATTCTCCCCTTATGTCTGGAACAAGCGGTGAATACGCACCCGCTGTACCACAGTTCGAATCCAGCGCACGGTTCGATTTCCTGATCAATACTGCAGATGTGTTTATGACGACAAACACGCGCAGTCCCATTCACAGTGGGCCGGTAAAGAACCCGTGACGTTATTCGCGAGAGTAAGGTCACCGTATGCCCGAGTCGCGGTCCGTCCAAATTTGCCAAAAAATAAAAAAAATGCACCACGAATTACTCAACCGGAGCTATATGGGAATCATCGACCCACTCATGCAAACACTTGGCAGGGAAAGTAGTCACGTGACTGAGAGGGAGGCTTTCCCAGGTAAACAAGCATAATAATCATGATGATTGAGGCTTTCCTGAATCAATGTGACATATTACGGTCATAACCAAAGCACCCCCCTCCTCCTGCAGCCTATAACACCTGGTATGCTTGGTGGTCGCCCATAGAGCAGTGCGGCAAAAGTCATCATCGTGTCCTCACTGGCCTGCGCGGTGTAGTATGGTCAAACGACCACCACAACCCGCTCAGCATGTGGAGGCCCCCTCATCCAGCAGTGGATTGACAAAACGAACTGTGCACATAGAACCCCAGCGCTTCCAAGCCAGATTAAATAGTAATTATAGACGATCGTAAGTCACCGCTTTACTAATCTGTGCCCACGAGTGTTCGTTGCAAGGATGGGGGAAGCACGAATGTCTTTTTGAAGCCACGTTTACAAACAAGAACTCATGGCTTCGAACACAAAAAGAAATAATCGAAAACCGTCTTTGAAAGGCCGTGCGAGTGGCTTTGAAAGAAAATCGGCGCAATGTTTTAAAATGTGAAAAAAAAAAAAGTTGGAGGTCACGGAAGGAATGTTTTCCGAGACTGATCCGGCCACCTCCTGGGGCTGCGCGACCCGGGACAGTGGTTAAGGTCACGCTGCCCTTGGGCCATGCGGGATTACTGTGCCGCTGTCGCTGATTCCTGTTTTAAGTGGCGTTTCCCCCCCCCCCCCACTTCTCTCTGGTGCTGCTCAGTACGGGCGGATTAGTGTGCAGCTCGCTCTGCTTTGTGGTTTTATTGGAGTTGGGTTTTTTTTCTGCTCTTTGTGTTTGGTTTTGGGGGTTGGCGTGCGTGCGTGGAAGATGAATGCCACGTCGGTTTACGCCGCCGTGCCTTTGCACGCGTGGGTGTGGGCGTGAGTGGATTTTCTTTTCTTCAAGGCTTGTGCAGCCAAAGTAATGGGCCCAGACCTTGAGTCACTTTTCATCATCACTTGGCAGCTTTGGCGACCAGACCAGACTGCCGGATAATATTAAAGCAGTAGCTGCAGTAGCCATAATTATGGCTGCTGCTTTTTATAATCATAAGGCCTTGCCAAGCCGCCACTGTTGCCACCTTCCACGACATTGCCGCATTAAATTACAGCAGTCGCATAATATTAGTATGATTTATTATTGATAAGCCGTTATCAAGCCTTTTCTTTTTAGAAGGGGCCCTACTTTGAGATGCTTGGCCAATCTCTTTGTTTGAACACGTCCTGAAATAAAACCGAAAGAGCCTGGAGTAAACCCACTTTCACGAGAGGTTGCCATGTAAAACACTGCAACGAATGCCACGGCTTTTCCACTTGCTCCACTACCTCCTTAAGGCACCTCGTGGTTTTCCACTCCAGTTACAACCACATAAATTATCAATCGGGAATTGACCAAACGTTCCACTGCAGGCCGCTAGTCCCGGCTCTAAGTGAGGCTTATTCCTGTCTTGATGGGCTGCTGTTTGCAAATGTATTGGGTGCCACAATGGCGAGATGTTAACTCCCTCGCCTGGTATGCAGGAGTTCATGGGTTCGATCCCGACCCTGACGCCTGGTGTATATGTAGTGCCGTAGATGGGCCACGCTTACTGGCAGTGGGAGACGAGGTGCATCTGCAAGGGTACCCCGTACCGCCAAGGGGGGGGCTGTGGGGGGTCTACGATCCCACGCAACGCCACCCCTCGATGGGCAAAGGGGCATAAAAGGGGACCTCCCCAGCCGATCGGGGCCAGTCGCAGCTCAAGACCTAAGACCAGACAGCTTAGGACCCTGGACAATCTCGCCCCGCTTGTCCTTGTAAGGGCCGGGATGCTGTGCGGGCCAGTGGTGTGACTCTGGGACTCCCGGCTCTACACCCTTGTAAGGGCGAGGTCCGAGGAAGCCAGAGTCTAGACCCGTACCTTGGCTGGGTCGGGTCAGGTAGCCTCCCCAGGGTAATTGTAGCCGGAGGACCCGAGAGCGTAGCCAGTGTCAGGCACGCTAGAAGTAGGCTGTGTATCTAGGCTGTAACAGTGTATCAGGACTGTTGGAGTGGTGTGTTGTAATAAAGAAGTTGCATCTACAAAGTGTCTCCGGAACCCATTACATATATTTGGAGTTTACGTGTCTCTTATCTCCCCGTGAATGCGTGGATTTATCTCCGTGTCCTCCGTTTTTTTTACTCCACATTTAGAAATATGAATTTAGAGTATTTGGCTGATGTAAATTTCCACGTGATGATAACCCACTTCATTGAGCTATCGTTTGTGGCAGGTCACTTCTGAAAAAGAGCTGCGTAGCTCATTGAGCCTTTACCTGGTAAAATAAAAATAGTAGTTTTTAAAAATAGCTTTAACATTGCCCGGGTCTGCGCCGCCATTGACAATTGTGAAGAATTGCAACCGCCAGCTGAACGATGCCAACCTGAGGCGAAATAAATTTCTGCGCTTTCTGCGATGCCTTTTAACCCGCCAAGTCGTGCTCTCTGGGCCCGCGACATTTTGGCCACCGTGCCAGAGGGGGGAAGGAGGGCGTCGTCTCAGCCTCGTTGTGAGGAAGGGCAGCGTTGCATTGTGACCGGAACCATCCGGGAAAAGCAAAGTGTGAGGTTTTTCTATTTTTTTTTATCTACATACTCAGAAGCACAGGTGATCGGGATCTAAAATTTGGTCTAAAGGGATCAAAACAAACATACAATGGAACTCTTTTGATGAGAAAGAACGGCACCCAAATCCTCGTTGGAACATTTGCTTCCAACTTGAGAGAAAACCCTACGAGATAGATAAAAAAAACCTTCTGAAAACTCTCGATTGCTCACGTGCCTGCAGTGTGAGCCAGAGGTCACCTGAAGAGATCTCGGAGGCAGCTCGGTGATATCTGCTTCCTTTGGCCGTTCTCTTATAAGAACAATGGCCACACTGCTCTTCGGGAGTTCTGAATTGATACTTTGTCTTGTGAAACGATGCCGAAAGCACAATCGGGGATAAAATAACAATGCCAATCTTCCATTCCCCCAGAGACAAAGATCCCTCGTATAGCCTTAACAGACTGTTGGGGCAACTCCTGTTAGCGAGCACCTTCGAAGGCCGGCACGGCACACGAGGGGTTGGGTGGCCAGCACGACGCCCGGTCGCATTTGTCTCCCCATTGGCAAAGTTTACACACCGCAACGGGCACTCATTTGAAGCTGAGTCGACCTAGGGGGAAGCCCAGGTTGATAATCATTACTGGGTGTTGGTGGCCCTGAGCAGGAATCGATCTCTGGTCGCCGGCTTTCGTGGCGCAGCGCGCTAACCACTACCCCACCTCCACACCCAGAGCCCGAGGATGAATGGACGGAGGCGCCGCTGATCGAGGAGTCTCGCGGCGGCGGCGATGACGATAGCTTGGCTGCGCTCGATGGAGCGTCGACGTCGCCTGGGACTGGCGAGGGCCCCGCCGGGGACGGCGGCCGCGGCACGCCGGGTCCCGGTGACGGGGCCGGCGCCGCTGCTTCACAGGCGCAGGCCAGCACCAGCTGGTCCGGCCTCGTCGACTACCTCATCAAGTCAGGTGCGCGTGCGCAACGATTCGTGTTGTGTATTTTTGTTGTTGTTGTGTGAGGTTGTGTTTAACCAGGAAAGAGTCTTTTTCAGGAGGGTCCTGATAAGTGTTCGCAGTCACGTGCTATCGATTGCTTAGGCATTTCATAATCAAGTCGTTGCGAGCATTTTTTTAAATTGGGCAAATGTGGCCCACGGTGCCGGTACACGACGTCCCCCTTCTCTGGACGAGGGAACAGGATCTCAAACGTCCGCGGCGAGAGTTTAATAAACCCGCAGGACTAACCAGGGCGGCCTGCTGGAGTGAAACCATTCACTTCTGCAACGTGCAGTGATTAATTGATTGATATAAATACTTTCCGCTCACCACGCGTCCATGAAATCATGCATGCAAGAATCTACTATTTCCGAATGATATCTTCAATATCGCACGTGCACGGTGGAGTCTACATATCCAAGAAAATGCTTTTTTGCTTTTATGACTCTAAAAATTATGACCTCCATTGGTTTCACCCGTAGGGCAGAGTCCTTCTTCCGGTTCCGTTGCTTAAGTCTCGTGCTGAACTCTTAAAATTGTGACCCGTGTCATTAGCGAACCGAGTAACTTGTCTCCTGCAGAGTGGGAGGCAGCGAGAGGCGACAGGTGTGCGGGAAAAGTCCACGAGCAGCTGCAAGAGTGTTTACAATTTTTACACAGTATTACATACCTCGGAGGTGTACAATTTTTAATTGTACAGATGCATAACTTCTTAGTCAAAAGTGAATTCCTGTGCTCGCACGAGCATTGGCGCATTGGTGCTCATCGCCTGTTTACAGCACTGAACCAGTGGTGGGAATTCCACATTCCTATGGTGGGGGTGGGGTAACTTCACAGGGCAACCATTGTTGACTTCCCCCACAAAGTGGTGGTATCTATTTTATTGACCCCGGAGGGATGATGGGCCAAGTCAACCCCCGGCCACGATTTGAACTCGCAATCTTATAATTGCAAGCCGCTCGTTCTACCGCTGAGCCACCTAAAACACATGGACACCCTCTCGACATTTTCAGTCCCTTGTAAATTGCCCCTGTTCAGGCCACTGTAGCTTATATACGTTCAAACCATGATAGATCACGCAGAGTCCTTAACTCTCAAATTTTCAGATGCTGCGAATTATTAGGAAGGTTTTAGCCCTGGCACAAACACAAAGAAGGGGCGTAGAGTCAATGATACAGTGTGTGAAGAAAGAGAAAGGAGCGGGAGAGGGACGAGCGAAAGAATAGGGAAACAAGGGATGGAAAAGGAGCGGAGAAATGAGAGCACGGGGGCCAGGAGAGATGAGGAGAGGGAGGAGGAGGCTGCGTGAGGACCTCGACGCTGCTGCTGCTGCTGCTGCTGCACGGAGGAGCGACGTTGGTTTTTACAGCGGGCGGCGTGGACGGGGGGAGAGGGTTCAAGAGTGGAGGTGGCCACGCAGAAGCCACGCGAAGCCACACGGGAAGCTTGAGCTAATTTAGATACTTTGGCAGTGCAGTTCACACAGTTATGTATTCTGCAGAGTTATTACTTTAAGATTACATTCCACTGCAGATCCTGCACATTCACCATCGAGTGCAGGCAGCCGTGGATAGTTCTGCGACGGCTAATATGTCGGCATGCCCTCGTGCTTGGCCATTTCATTATTCATGAGATTTTTGGCACCAGAGTAAAAAACACTCGCGTTGGAAGGGAATACCGCTCCAAGCGCGTAATTTACCGGGAAACGGCTCGTGTCCGTGGCAAGTTATTTCTCGAGTGGTCCTGAGCCCCATGGACGACACAGCGTGGGGGGTGCCCTAATTCAGCAATGGTGCGACGAAGAACCGTGAATAACTGTCCACCTACAGACGTTTCGTCAATCCACTGCTGGATGAGGGTCTCCCGTCCGGGTCGTCAGGGCTGTTTCACCATACTTCCCCGCACCGGGCAGCGTGGGTTTGCGTGAATGCGGGAAGCGTAGGCTTTTGGAGGATGGTACGGTCCACCGATGGATTTACTTGTGTGATGACGTGAGTTGTCGTTGCTCGGCCCGTGCAGAGCTGCAGAAGTGGCATGGATCGCCGTCGAGCTCGCCGGGGCTGTGCGTGCCCTCCGGCCCGAGTCCGTCTTCCCGTCACTTCTCCCCCTCGCTGGGCGGCGGAGGTGCCGGCGGGAGTGGTGGAGGCGGAGGTGGCGGCGGAGGCGGTGGAGGCGGCGGAGGTGGCGGCAGCGGTGGGCACCGCGGCGCGGGTACCGGCACGCTGCTGCTGTGTGAGGTGTGCGGAGACCTGGCGTCGGGCATCCACTACGGAGTGTACGCCTGCGAGGGATGCAAGGTATGGAGGGAGGGATGCAGGGAGGGTGTGAGGGAGGGAGGGGGAGGGATTCAGGGAGGGATGCAGAGAGGGAGGGAGGGATGCAGGGAGGCAGGGAGGGAGGGATGCAGGGAGGCAATGTCTAAGAAGGGTTCTGGCTAACACGTGCACGTCATTTTAAGGGGATCTCATTCCAGGTTTTCACCGTGCCTCTGCCACCCGGTCTGCCGTCGGCGTAAGATTCATCTTTGTTGTAATTTGCACTGGCGCCGTTCTAATAGTATACGTGGGGTGTCCATTTAAACTTCCGCACTCAGATCACTTATTGCCTTCTTGTGGATAAGGCGTGTGCTTTGACACAGGCACGGACCTGAACACGCAGTCGCCATCCCAGCGTGGGTGAAAATGTCACGTTGCCCCACTCCCCTTGTGCCCCCCCGCACCCTCTCTCTCCGCTCGGCAGGGGTTTTTCCGGCGCACGGTGAGCACGCAGGTGCAGTACGAGACGTGTCAGATGAACTGCGTCATCCAGAAGACCAACCGCAACCGCTGCCAGTTCTGCCGCTTCCAGAAGTGCCTCTCCGTCGGCATGTCCCGCGACCGTGAGTGCCGCACGCACACCACAAAGGTTTCCACGTGTAACCTTAACAGAATATCGGGGCAAGGGCACCTATGAAGGCCGGCACGTTGGCACACGGCGGCGTGGGTGGCCAGCACCACGCCCCGCCGCCTTTGTCTCACCAGTGACTATGTTTTTACGCATTGCACGAGGTACTCATTTGAGGCCGAGTCGAAATAGGGAAGGCCTTGGACCGGTTCAGATAATCGTCACTGTTATTGGTCGTGAGCGGGAATCGATCTCAGGTCCGCCGGGTTCGTAGCGCAGTGCGCTAACCATTGCGCCACTGCTCCACACTCACGCAGCACCAAGCCCCCCATTCGCCACTAAGCAACGGTGATGTCACCACGGTGCTTGTCTTATCTCATTTTATATTTGCAGAGCGCCTGAGCTCAAGGCGCTTAACATAGTTCAATACAAAGTAACCAAATAGAATGAGATCGATGGCAGGGGCGTGCATGGGCTTAGGAATTGGTGACACCGAGAGACGGTGCCTAGGGGTCTCGAAAGGGTCGGGGAGGGACGGGAAGGAGTGGAGGGAAGAGGAAGGGAATGGCGATAGAGAAGAGGTGGGTCTTGAAGAGAGGAAGGAGGTTAAGGAGGGGGGAACCGCTTCATGTACAGGCGAGGTTCACTTTGAGCCTCTTACGTGAAGTGGCATTGAAGGCTCGCTGGCAGAGGGTCACGGGACAGCTCCAGGTGCTGTGAAACGACTGGCAGACGCGCCACCTGCGCACCCTCACTGCGCCACCTTGGTGTGTTTTAGCCGCCCGGCGCTCTGCTCGCATCGCTCCGCCGCCCTACATTGTTTGAGGGCGGCAGCTCGCACCTGCCCAGCAGCGTCCTTAACGAGTCTCCTGCACAGAGGCGCGTGGCAAAGTCTCGGCTTCATTAGGCAACCGCTCTTGGTCTTTAATGCATTCGTACTTGGGGCCCCCCCTTACACCTCATCTTCCGCCCCCCGCCCCGCAGCTTCTCGCCGGGGTCGGGCCCCCCAAGCGGCCAAGGTGCGTCCGCTAACGCGGCCTTCGAGCAGGAGCCCCCACCGGCCCCTCGCTGGGCAGGCCCTGGGAGAGGAGATCACAGGTACCGCACCCTCACCCCCCGTGCGGCATCCTCCGCCGCTGGCACTCGGAATTCAACTCTGCCCGCTTGGGGCTCGTGCTGCTGCAGGTCCTGTGACGTCGGTTCGAAGGAGGGTGGGTGATGTGGGGGTGGACCTTGTGTGCCGGCATCACGGTGCAAATTTGCCAATTTTTTTTATTTTCCGTAATTGAGTGATATCGCGTGGCTACAACGCCCCCTTCCTGCGACCCGACTCCGATGAGCACGGTTGGCTACGTACGGTGCGAAAGAAGTCATGACATATGTTGCGTGGTAGAAAGGACGCTGAAGCCGGTCGTGTCGGGGCTGACGCCAAACTGTTTATTCAGGGCTTACACCTAACTCGGGAGAAGGGGTTAACACAAGAGTTCTTAACTAATCTCCCCAGGGGAAGGGTACTGGGAGTTCCCTACACCCTACCAGGCTATCAGGCTCTTCCCACAGCACTGACCGAGGTTTCAGCCGGGTAAAGCAGCCCTTTAGCCTGGCTCTCAACCCTCTATCCCGGAGCCCCCTACTCTCCTAACGCTCACTCCTCTGACTCCCGGCGAAGACCTCGTCTATGTCACGGGTCTTCCCTCAAATTCCCCGGGGGGCATGACATCACTTTACCTTGACGGCATTCCCCCCGAGGCGAGTGTGACCTGACGTCAGCACTCCTCAACATATACATACACTGCAGGATGCATCGGTGGAAAACTCAATCGCTCTTCTGAGTGAGACTTAACTACAAACACGAGACCATAGAGAACATGACTTCTTCCGGTCTCAAATATACAAGTGAAGGTGGTTGGTGAGCGAATGAGTGAGTGGGTGAGTGAGTTGGGAGCAGTTGAGTTGTGGTTAGCCCGCTGCGCTAAGAACCCGACGATGACCCGAGTTCGATTCCCACTCGTGGTCGACACCAGTGACGATTATCTGAATTGGTTCTCAGCCCTCCTCAAGGTCGATTCAGTCTAAAACGAGTACCTGGTTTTGTTTTATTTGGATTAACCCAGACTTGCTAATCAATGGAAATTTGAAATGCAGATTCTTTGGGATTGGCTGGATATGTGAATATGTGAGCCAGTGAGAGGCTGGAGACACCAGGATGCCGAAGGCACAAACTCGACAAGGACAATGCAGCATCGCTCCGTAATGTCTCTTGAGAAGCAATCGTATCCAGGCTCGGTGTAAATCAACGGACGCTGCGTCACAGCCATTGATCGCTGTTAATGGTCCCTCTCCTCCTCCTGCCTACCGCTGTGGCTGCTCTGGCTGCTGCCGCTGCTGCGCTTGCTGCTGCAGAGTTCGGGACCTATGAGACCAAACCCTTGCCGCTGTTGACGGCACGTTCGACGCTGGCCGACATGCTCACCTCGTCCACGCTCTCCACCTCGTCGGGAGGAAACCGCACAGCCGCCTCCTCGTCGCCGGCACCCATGTGGGATGGGCCCCGTTCCGCCTCCGTACGTCGCCCACCACCCCCTGCGCGTTGCCGCCCCCCTCCCCCCGTCCGTACCGATCGGAGTCGAGGTTGAGTTGCATTGCTGTGGCCGCCGAGGCCGTGCGGCCAAATGTCCTTGGGACGCCGCAGGGCGGATGTGAGATCTGTCCTAGCCGCAACATTTGGGAAGTATATCCGGCATACCGCAACTAAATAAAATGGCGCAAAACCACAGACTTTTTCAAACATTTACACGCAATTGAGGATAGGGGTTGGCGCTTTGACCCGTTAGCGGCGGTCGAACGCCGCGTGGACGATGCGAGGGTGACGTGTTGACGGGCGTCGCTCTCGTCGCGCCGCGCCTTCTCCGCAGCCCGTGTGCCTCGACCTGCGGCAGCACCTCCCAGCGCCGCGCCGCTCTCCTCCGCGCCCGTGGGACGGCCGCTCGTGCGGCCCAGCCGCCGACGCCCCGTCGCGCTGCCGTGCCTTCGACCTGCACCCGCACCGCGACCTGCACGACGCCTACGACGGCCTGGAGCCGGCGGACGACGACGGCGGCGACGACGACGACCTCGACGTCGGGGGGGTCGGCAGCGGCGGCGGGGTCAACGCTCGCGAGGAAGTGGACGCTTGCGGCAGGGCCGGCCCCGGCGGGCTGCGCGCCGCGGAGGCCCTGCGCGTGCTGGCGCGGCACACGCAGGAGGTGTGGCCCGTGTCGCGAGGGTCCGCGCCGGCAGAGGCTCGCGCACGCCCGCCCGGCGCCGCTCAGCACGCGGTACGTCGCGGAGGGACGGACGCGCCGTCGCGTGCCTCGCGGGGTTTGGTTCGCAGCCGAGTCGGGCGCCAAATGGAAGAGTAGAACTCGGTTTCAAGGTTATTTTGTTTTTAACAGGGTAAGAACTCCAGAGAGCAGTACAACGATAAAGTGATTAGAAATCGAGAGTACAAGAGAAAGCGGAAATGTTGCAAGTGTCGGAATATTGCAAGGGGGGACCATACCTTGCAGGTCAGGCATCGGCTTTGAATTTCACAGAAGGGAAGGGAGCCGCGTCATGGCGCGGCATCGACCGTCGTAACCCTCGGCTGACCGTTTGGCGCGGTCCCCCACAGCCCAACGCTCGCGACGAGCTGCGGCGCGCGGCCCGCGATCTGCAGCGCTTCGCGAGCCAGCAGGACGTGCTGCTCAAGGGCGCGCTCTACGACTGCAGCCAGGGCCAGCCGGCCGACGCGGCCCGCCTGGTGCACGAGGCCCGGGACCTCCTGCGCTGCGTCCGCGATGGCCTTCGTGCGCGCCTCGACGCGGTCGCCGACGGCCTGGACGCAGCGACGGCCGGGCCGCATGGCGGCGGAGCGGAGGGGGCGGCGGAGGGGTCCGCGCCGGCCTGCGCCAGCCCCGCGTCGCCCGAGTGGAGGCTCTCTTCCGAGCTGGGCGCGGCCGAGAGGGGGCGCATGCTCTAGCGGTGCCGGGCGTGCCATTCGTTGACGAGCGACCGGATAAATAGCCGGTGGTGGCCCAGCGGCAGCAAAGAGTCGACGTTTGTCAAATGGATCGAGCCGATGTTGTTAAGTGAAAGGCACGACAAGCAAAAAATATTAATTATAATCGAGGATTATAGGATTTTTTTTTTACTGCCAACGTGAAAGTTGTTGACATACCTGGCTGCCGCATCCTGAAGAGGTTGAAGCACGTGTTTTTTTTGGTTAAATCGCGGTGCTTGGCATCAACGATGTTTGTCGACATTTGTTCGACGTTGGCAAGCGAGTGACCCCGGCGAGTTCCCTGCCGCTGCCGTGTTTGCTCCCCCATTCCCCCCCGCCCCCCCCCCCCCCCCACCTCGCTGATTTGATGGTCGTGGCTTCGCAGTCCTTTTGGCCGCGATGGCCGGTACGCAGGGTGCTAAGCGATGTGGGGATGAAAGATATCCTTGGCTCTCGTTGTTTTTTTTATATCCCTGGGACTGCAGTTGTCTTCCCCGGGAAGGATAAATGTATCCTTCGCTGGATAAGAGATGTTGCCTAGAAGGGTAAAACACCAATTATCATGTTGCGTAAGAATTGTTATAATTATTTTTATTCCTCCGACCTCGGCATCTCTGGTACCCCCAGCCCTCTCGGCTCAAGTCTTACCTTCTCACGCATCTCCGTATCCTCTCCCTCCCCCTTTCACTGGCGGTGTTTCGCAGGGGTTGGTTCAGGGCCCCTAACTATTCCTTCTGTGTATTTCGCCCCTTGAATCTAATATCTCCTCTTTCTGCTTTACTCGCCAAATTATTTGCTGATGACACCCAAATCTTCTCCTTTTCCCTCTTGTATCCCTGACCTTTCCTCTCGTATCTCCAACCTCTTGCCTGGCTGCCATCCAATCCTGGACGCCGCTTCACTCTCAATCCGTTCAAAACATAAATCGTTTTCCCACCGGCCTCTCCCTCTCCTCCTCCCGTCCCTACTATCTCCTTCCCTGCTCTCTCCTGCCTCCTCTCTCCTCACCCTCCGTGTCGTCTTCCCTCGCCTCCTCCACCCACTGCCCCCTTCGTCCGTTCAACGTCAGGAAAAGCTGCCCTCGTTTCACTTTCTGCCGCCAAACTCCGGGCTCGCGCTCCGATCTTTACCCGGTCCGGATGACTGCAATTCCCTTCTTCTCCGTCTCACTGTCTCGTCCCTCACTAACCCCTCCAACAATTCAAAATCCTTCTGCGCAAAGTTATTTTCAATCTCCCCTTTTTTAATTATCACACTTCGTTTCTCCGTCATACCCAGTGGCTTCCCATTTACTACACCGCTGTCTTTTTAAATACCTGATACAGGTAGTCCTCTACTTACGATGGAGATGCGTTATGACGACCCCATCGTAAGTCAAAAATATCGTAAGTCGAGATGGAGTCTTAAAGAATGGTGATAATTTAGCAAAACAGAGCAATTTACAGTACCGTACTGTATAAACTATATACTGTAAGTATTTATTCATTACAATACTGTATTGCACAGTAAAATTAAAGTAAAAAAAGTTAAATTCTTAGCCTACCTATATGAACTGCAATTTAATAGAAAGTTTTTTCAGGAAACAATCCTACCTGCTATAAAAGGTGGGAGATGCGTACATCCTGGCAGCGTCCCAACGTACAGTATTGTACCTCGTACGCTGCTGCGTGTTCCTGCCGCGTGAAATGTTAAATATTTTACAATTTTGTATCGCCATCGTAAGATCTAAATATCGTAAGTCGGACCATCGTAACTCGGGGACTATCTGTAGTTAGGAAACACAAATATGATCTGATCATGAGTTTGATACACGATGAGCTGCACTGGCTACCTATGAAATACAGGATTGCGTATAAATTATGCCTACTCGTTTTTAAGAGTCTCCAATTTGCTCCATCCTCTCTCGCCGATCAGTGCGTATCAGCTTCAACGGACCCAAATCCACTCCGACTACAATCCGCGGTTCGCGGCGACCTGCTGCTGTACCCCACCGCGCGATGCGGCCGGCGCAGTGTCCCTGGCCCAGCGACGCTGAAACACGCTGCAGCTCACGCTCGGGATCCAGCCCCGAGTCTGAGCCAGTTCTGCAAGAGACTCAAAACGGTGTTGCTGCTGTTGTTTCAGAGACGACTTCAATGTGTGATCAATGTGTGATCAGTATGTGATGGAAGTGTGATCGATGCGCATTCGTGATGGACTGAACTCATAAGAGTGCGCGATAACAAATGTTCTTACTTTAAATCTCTCCATGGCCTTGCCCCACCTCATCTCGCCTCTCTCATCTTCTTCCATGTGTAATGTTCTTGTATGGAGACGGAGTCGTCGTAGAGGCAACACGGTTTATTTATAATATAACAAGGTACACAATCCCTAACACAAAGGGGTAGTGGTCCTTTTCACCCACAACCTGGGGAGGTACAGCCTCCGGGCTATCGTACCTAGTCACTCTGACTTCTCTAGCCCTCCGGCTGGCTAGAACTAGGGGAGGCTGACCCACCGCTGGTCCGGTGGGTCCCTGACCACTGGCCTGTCCCGACCTGGCCCTCAGAAGGACATCAGGCCGAGGGAACCTCAGGGTCCTAACCTCCGACCACTGGCACCGCACTGAGCCCCGGCCCTTAAAAGGACGTCGGTGGCTTGGGGTCCAGGATCTTGTTTTCAGGCGGGCTTCTGACTTCGGCTTGAGGCAAACTGCCCAGCGCTCTCAAGAACCCGCTTTATATACCGTTTCCCACTGAGGGGCGGGGCTCTGTGGGATCGCACGCATCCCCCAGCCCCCTCCCCTGAGAGGGGTCCTGGCCAACCGTTGGCCCAACCGGTCCGGACCGGTTTCTACCGCTTCCCACCGAGGGGCGGGGGTTCTGTGGGATCGCAGACGCTGCCCACAGCCCCCTCCCCCCGGCGGGTCCCGGCCAAGAGTACACAACCTCCCCGTACCGGTAAGTACCCTGGTTCTGGCGCGCGTGTGTGTCAACATGACCACCCCCCCCCATACAGCACGCAGCCGTCCCAGCTGCAACAACAACCAACAACACCAACAACAACAAAAAAACCAATGTGAACCAGAAAATCCTCAACGCAACAACAACACAACCCAACAACACCCGCAATAATTTACCCCAACCCACCTGAAAATATGTTACACTGATTGGTGTGGCCATGGTAGTAAATCGGAGAAGGCCGAGGAACCCCATGTGGAGCAGGGGGAGACAACACACAAACTGCACACAAGAAAGGCCGATGCCAGTTGCATTGCATTCTTTCTCCAGCTAGAACTTTCGTGTGACGTTTTTGGCCCGTTTTGCGCCTGTGCTCAACAACTCTGTTACATATTACACCATTGAGACACAGACGTTATTTTCGTGATGCTGGTCAGTGTCAGATTAAGCTAGTGCAGGGCCTGTAGCATATGTTATAAATGGGCCCTAAATTTAAAAAAACACGTAAATATAAAAATACTAATTGTTTTAACTCCCGTAGTAAGTAATTGTATTTTTCATTTGCTATACGGCGAGATAATACAACAAATCGCTAACCTTAAACACCCAGTCGTTCATAAAAGTCGAAGGCGGTATAGTACTATAGTAATAGAGCAAGTGCAGAATCACTGAACTGGAATTGATAGCTTGAAAGCATTTAGCGCGGGGCCCCTGAAAGTGCGGGGCCCGTAGCTACACGTGTAGCTACTCGTGCTGCTGGGATAATCCGGCACTGGTGCTGCTGCTGCAGCATTGGCAGTGGCGGTGCCCCAAGCGCAATTCACGACAAGAAACCCCGACAACGTTTCTCGCACGCAGGCTTTGTTATCTCAGCTGGTGAAGCGCTGGTGAAGCCCCGCTGAGCCACGCAGCTCTGTGGCAAGGTCGGCCACCAGCCCAGAACCATCGCCGATGGCGGCGGTTACAGGACATTGTAGCTACATAAGAGTTACAGAGAGACCCATAGAGTAACATAGAGATCCATAGAGTTACAGAGGGAACCATCGAGTTAAATAGAGATACATAGAGTTGCATAGAGACCCATAGAGTTACATAGAGTTGTAGAGGTGCTAGACACTCTATTCGGTAACCTGCGGGTCCACTATGTATCAGAGGGGCAATGCAGTGTTACTGCGCTGGGATCAACGGCCGGGATCAGGGAGAGGTGAGAGCGGATCATAAACACAGATTCCCGCCAGACCAACGGCCAGCGGTCAGATGAGGTAAAAGAGGATCGAAACGACGGATTGTAAAGAACCAATCAGAGGGTCCCACGAGGGAGCGTGTGATTGGATAAGGACCGTTACAAACGGGTATAAAAGGGCGAGCGCGGGGAGCGCGCGGGAGTTCTCCACACACGAAGACCGAAGCCCGGGCTGAAGAAGATAGGACCCTGGCTCCCCAGCCTTCCAGCTCTTCTAAGAGCTAAGGCTCTGCGCGACCAGTGGTCAGGGAACACACCGAGCCAGCGGTGGGTCAAGCTAGCCTCCCCTAGGTCCCAGCCAGAGGACGCTAGGGTAGCGGGTAGACTGGGAATAGCTCCCGCCAGTTCGGAGGCTGTACCTCCCTAGGCCAGCAGTCAGACCCGTCTATACGTCCCGCCAGTTCGGAGGCTGTACCTCCTTCGGCTACGGGTGAAGAACCGTATATCCCTCCGTGTGTGTAGGGACTGTGTCGAAAGAAAGACAAACCAGTGTGTGCCTTAAGGAGTTTATTCATCTGTTATTTACAACACTACAGAGTTACAGAAAGACCCATATAGTTACATATAGATCCATAACGTTACATAGAGATCCATAACGTTACATAGAGATCCAGAGAGTTACATGTAGGCCCAGAAAATTCCATAGAGACCCATAGAGTTACATAGAGACCCATAGAGTTACATAGAGATCCATAGAGTGTGGAGAGAACGTGCAAACTAACGCGAGCTAAAACATAAATTATACACACGGAACCCCTGCTAAAACTTGACACTCGTCAAAAAATAGTGGCCTTAGAAGGAAAACTATATAATATATATAATAGGCGACATTTAGAGAGGTCCGAAAAGGTTTAAAATGACTGGATGCACAGAGAACGGTGCGGGCGTGATAAAGCCGCACGAATATCCAGGAAATACGAACAACGCTGCTGCTGATGCCGCTGCTGCTGCCCCTAATCCCTTGCATTATTCACGTGCCCCTGTTGTGCATCTCACGTGACAGAACCTTCCCGAAGCAGGTAGCTTGCAAGGACCATGTCCGTTCGTATTAATCATCGTCCCAGCAGGGCCCTCCGCTGCTGTCGTCCTCCACGACGGTCGGCGTGTCATCTTAGCCGAGCCGGTGGTCGGTGTGATCGAGCCCGAGTGCCGGTCCGTGTACCAGCGTACACGGCCTCGCGCGCCCCCGGTTAGCGGTGGGGCTATAATAGGTGACGCGATCTTCCCAAGAGGGTTCATCACCTCTGCCCGTTTTGTTCGCAGATCATCGCCACCCATCACATGCAGTCCATCTCGTTTGCGTCGGGAGGCGACATGGTGAGGACGAGGAGGCTCGTGTAAGGCAGCGGCTGCCGATGGTTCTCTCTCGCGGGGTGCTTGGGTCCTGTTGTGGAGGAGCCGAGAGGCCACCGCTGGCCATGCAGGCAGCTGAAGGTTGGCGGATCACACATTTGCGAAAGTCGATACCAGCGGGAGTCGGGGCCACTGTCTCCCAGCTTGCAAGGGTGCGATGGTAGTCCAGCAAGCGGGTTAATTCCCAGCTGTACGGGGATCGAGGGTTACCCCCCTCCCACTTACAGGGTTTTCTCCGAGTTGCTCCGGTTCCCACATGTATAAACACTCATTCATTGAGTTGCCAAAAATCTCATTATAGGATTCATTTACAGCTGTACGGGGATTGAGGGTTGCCCCCTCGCACACGTGGGTTTCTCTGGCTACTCAGGTTTTCTCCCACGTGTATGACCACTCATTATAAATGAAATTGGCCAAACATACCAATATAGGACCACACAGCTTGGGCAATTTTTGCCACTAACATTCTGGCTGCCTTCCCGACACTTGCCCGTGATTTTCCGCATCTCTGAATCAGTCTTTTCTCTCTCTCCCGCTCTCTCTCGTTCACTTTGAGAGTGAACGAGCGTCGCACGCGACACAGCTCACGAGTGCCAATTCGTCACGGCACCTTTGACGCGCAAACGATCTCGCGCCAACCGCCCCCGTTTTCTGTCGCCGCAGAACATGGCCGACTACGTGGCGTACGTGGCCAAGGACCCGGTCAACCAGAGAGGTGAGTCCAAGGCCGGACCCCGCACCCGCTGTCTCCGCGGCACCACTGTTCTGCCTCACGGCAGGTGTTGTGCTCCGTTGGAGGAGTGGGGTGTTCGCATACAGGAATTTCCTGTTTTGATGCTGAGTTTGGTCACGTAACCAGGAAGTTCCGATTTGACAGTCTTTCAGCCACGAGGCTGGAGGCAGCCATTACACAGAATTCAAGATGGCGGCACAAATCGCGTCTCAGTGAAGACAGCTGTAATTGTCCATTGTGGGACTTTAAGAAGCATTGTCTGTAAGTTCGTTTATGTTCTTATAATACTGGGAAAGCTGTTATAATGTTAGAACGACCGTTATAATGCTGTAAATGCCTTTATAATGCTATTAAATTGTTATGATAAATACGAGGCCTAGTTAATAACGAAGCCTGCAACTTTTCTTATTGTGAATGTTACTTGTAATCGAATAAGTCGAGTCAAACTTGTACCCAAGTAACTATATTGCGATCTTGAGAGCAAGGATGACAAAATGTTTCATCCACAGTTAAGTGTTATATGTAGTGCGGTACATTTGGGGTGCAGTGTGATGAATACACGATGTGCCTTTATGTAACACAGTAGCTTATGCTCTTGTATAGCTATTGAGTGGTAATGTAGGTGTCTGGTCCTTCCAGGATCTATTGTTGAGAAACATGTTATCTAAGACAATGTTATGATGCTGTGGTGTTCATTCATTGTGTTGGTGTTTCCGGGTATTAACAGATGCTGAATCTGTGCTGTTTTCTTACCAGTTTTACCTCGTTCAATTCAATAAATGACGTTTGGAGTTGGATGTTCACCCTGGCTCTGAGGGTTTATTGGATGCGAGGTTAACTACTCAGCTAGCGGTGCAATGCAGCGCACAGTGAGGCCGAGACAACCACCTCGGTGTCGGACCGCCACGCCGCCAAAAATCCTTTTTGGGAATAAATGTTTTTGTCTTAAACGTGGTAGATTTAGAATTGATACGGTGAGTCCTATTTACGTTGGGGATGCTGCCCGGAAAAACGAGATTTTTGGCGACGGGGCCGACGCTGCTCTTCCCTCACCACCCCCCGCATGAACACACACACACACCCCCACATAGAGCCCCGAGGGGAGGTCACCTGGCCGACAGGTTTTCATCCAGAAGCCCTCTCACGGGACTAATCTTCACGGTTTCCTGCGGCCAGGGAATTGGGCGATCTCCCCCGATGCGAACTCACACCTTGGCGCCGTGACTTGGGTTGTAATTACATGGTCACGACGGGGTTGCCCAGCCACCGCGGTTAAGACACACACCACACACACGGGTCGGCATGCAGGTAGGGGGCGGAACCACGAACGACGGGAAAACAGGGCAGGCCCTCTGATTGGTCGGGAGCTTAGCGGCAAACCTAGACGCGGACGTCGCTGAAAGCAATGGTCCGTGGCGGGAAATCCGAGCGATCTGATTGGCCGGGAAGTCCAGCGGATCAGCGGCGAATTCTCTTTGAAGTCGGTAACAATAAAAGGCGAGAGAAGGTAGAGATAAGGCAACCGTGTTCTTCTGAAGTCGGGGATCGGAGTAGTCACCTTGTCGGCCACTGGATCGTCCGTGAGACGCGTCTCAGCGCAGCCAGGCCCCAGGAGAACTTTGTCCACGGCTTCCCGCACCTCCGAGCCGAACCCGCCGAGCTATGCCCCTGAAGCAGGAGTCGAGGACTCGAGGGGCCGGAGGGCGGCAGCCCTTCTCCCGCGGACGAGGAGTTCAGCAGCAGCGGCTCTCACACGAGTGAGGGGTCTGGAGACGGCGGCCCCCCTCTGGCCGGCCCCACGCCCGGGGAGGACCAGGGGGCCAGCGGCCTCAACAGTGTTGTATTACTTTAGTTTCATTACATGTTCATTTTGATTCATATGCAGTTTTTTCTGACTTTACGTGAAGACACAAATTCGCCCGTTTTCTCATTGAAAATAGGTAAATTTAAAACTGTCCTTTGCTTTTGTGTCCTGGTCACAAAAGCAAAGTTTGTGGGGAATAATAGCCATTTTATATACCTTTTAGGCATAAACGATGACGAAATAACACTTATTGCCCAGGAACAAGAATTGTGTTACAGAGTGCGACCCGTGGTTGTTGCGAGGGTTGGAGGTGGTGGGGGTGAGAGGTGGGGGTAAGGGTGGGGAGGGGTGGGGGGGAAGGGGAGGGGGGGAAGGGGTGGGGGTGCCCCCCGCGACCTCCGCCACCACCACCACGCGCTGCTCGTGTGCTGCAGTAAGCGCTGCTGCTATTGGCCGAGACGGAGAGAGAAAGAGAGGCGGGGGGAGTGGGAGGGTGGCGCTGGACCAATCGGCGCGCGCGTCTCTATCCGCGCGGACCCGGCGAGTGGTGGTGGTGGTGGGCCGCGGCGTCTTCCCGCGAAGCGAGGCCACACCACAACCACAACAACCACAACCAACACCACAACCACCACAACAACCACAACCAACATCACAACCACCACCACCACCCTCTCATCCATCTCTCGCGAAGACGACCAAATCCTCCGGGTAACAGTCGCTACAATCATCGTGCCGCTCGCACGCGTCGTGGTGGTGTGTATGAGGTGGTGGTGGTGGTGTAGTGTTGTGTGTGAAGTGATGGTGTAGTGTTGTGTGTGAGGTGGTGGTGGTGTAGTGTTGTGTGTGAAGTGGTGGTGGTGGTGGTGTAGGGTTGTGTGTGAGGTGGTGGTGGTGGTGTAGGGTTGTGTGTGAGGTGGTGGTGGTGGTGTAGGGTTGTGTGTGAGGTGGTGGTGGTGTAGGGTTGTGTGTGAAGTGGTGGTGGTGGTGGTGTAGGGTTGTGTGTGAGGTGGTGGTGGTGGTGTAGGGTTGTGTGTGAGGTGGTGGTGGTGTAGGGTTGTGTGTGAGGTGGTGGTGGTGGTGTAGGGTTGTGTGTGAGGCGGTGTAGTGTTGTGTGTGAAGTAGTGGTGGTGTAGGGTTGTGTGTGAGGTGGTGGTGGTGTAGTGTTGTGTGTGTGGTGGTGGTGGTGTAGGGTTGTGTGTGAGGTGGTGGTGGTGTAGGGTTGTGTGTGAGGCGGTGTAGTGTTGTGTGTGAAGTAGTGGTGGTGTAGGGTTGTGTGTGAGGTGGTGGTGGTGGTGTAGTGTTGTGTGTGTGGTGGCGGTGGTGTAGGGTTGTGTGTGAGGTGGTGGTGGTGTAGTGTTGTGTGAAGTGGTGGTGTAGTGTTGTGTGAAGTGGTGGTGGTGGTGTAGGGTTGTGTGTGAGGTGGTGGTGGTGTAGTGTTGTGTGTGTGGTGGTGGTGGTGTAGGGTTGTGTGTGAGGTGGTGGTGGTGTAGGGTTGTGTGTGAGGCGGTGTAGTGTTGTGTGTGAAGTAGTGGTGGTGTAGGGTTGTGTGTGAGGTGGTGGTGGTGGTGTAGTGTTGTGTGTGTGGTGGCGGTGGTGTAGGGTTGTGTGTGAGGTGGTGGTGGTGTAGTGTTGTGTGAAGTGGTGGTGTAGTGTTGTGTGAAGTGGTGGTGGTGGTGTAGTGTTGTGTGTGTGGTGGTGGTGGTGTAGTGTTGTGTGTGAGGTGGTGGTGGTGTAGTGTTGTGTGAAGTGGTGGTGTAGTGTTGTGTGAAGTGGTGGTGGTGGTGTAGGGTTGTGTGTGTAGTGTTGTGGTGGTGTAGTGTTGTGTGTGAGGTGGTGGTGGTGTAGTGTTGTGTGTGAGGTGGTGTAGTGTTGTGTGTGAGGTGGTGGTGGTGTAGTGTTGTGTGTGAGGTGGTGGTGGTGTAGGGTTGTGTGTGAAGTGGTGGTGGTGGTGGTGTAGGGTTGTGTGTGAGGTGGTGGTGGTGGTGTAGGGTTGTGTGAGGCGGTGTAGTGTTGTGTGTGAAGTAGTGGTGGTGTAGGGTTGTGTGTGAGGTGGTGGTGGTGTAGTGTTGTGTGTGTGGTGGTGGTGGTGTAGGGTTGTGTTTGAGGTGGTGTAGTGTTGTGTGTGTGGTGGTGGTGGTGTAGGGTTGTGTGTGTAGTGTTGTGGTGGTGTAGTGTTGTGTGTGAGGTGGTGGTGGTGTAGTGTTGTGTGTGAGGTGGTGTAGTGTTGTGTGTGAGGTGGTGGTGGTGTAGTGTTGTGTGTGAGGTGGTGGTGGTGTAGTGTTGTGTGTGAAGTGGTGGTGGTGTAGTGTTGTGTGTAGTGTTGTGGTGGTGTAGGGTGATGTGTGAAGTGGTGGTGGTGGTGGTGATTGCAGCCGACTTGGCCGCCTGTGTGTGTCTCTTGTGCGAGTGGGGAGCGGTGGTGTCGCTGTTTGCGCTAAGAACAGCGACGATGATCTGTGCCTGGGCCTCCTCCCCTCGGTCGTGACCCGGTGCAGCTGTGTGTAGTAGACATCGCGACTCGCGGGAGACTAAGGCGGTCGTGCGTGGTGCTGGCCACCCACCTCCTCGTGTGCCACAGTGCCGGCCCTCACAGGTGCCACTCGCTAACAGCACTGGCCCCCACAGTCTGCTAGAGGCTACACGAGACGAGAGGGGGGGGGGGTCTTCGGTTATTGGAGTCGGCGCTGTGGGGGGTCATGGCGTGTCCCGTGTCAGCGGTGTGGTTTGGGGTTAGGGTCGTGTCGGGACCAGGGTTTGGGTGGTGGGTTGGGGTTGTCAGGTGTCGGGATCGTGATTGTGGGCCCCTTGGGGTCCAGGCGTACTGACTTGTGCTTCGTGTAAGCGTTATGGTTTGGCGGTCGGGAGTTCGGGCGATATGGTGAGATTCAGGTGAGTAGTTTGGTTGATGTTAGTAAGGATCTGGGTGTGGGTTGATGTTAGTGTGGGTTAGATTCAGGTGAGTAGTTTGGTTGATGTTAGTAAGGATCTGGGTGTGGGTTGATGTCAGTCTGAGTTATATTCAGGTGAGTAGTTTGGTTGATGTCAGTAAGGATCTGGGTGTGGGTTGATGTCAGTCTGAGTTAGATTCAGGTGAGTAGTTTGGTTGATGTTAGTAAGGCTCTGGGTGAGGGTTGATGCTAGTGTGGGTTACATTCTGGTGAGTAGTTTGGTTGATGTCAGTAAGGCTCTGGGTGAGGGTTGATGTCAGTGTGGGTTAGATTCTGGTGAGTGGTTTGGTTGATGTTAGTAAGGATCTGGGTGTGGGTTCGGGGGTTGAGTTGATGTTAGGGGTCAGGGTTTGCGTTGAGGGTTATGGTTCGGGTAACGTTTTGGATCTTGGACGAAGGTTTCGGCTGGGAGCGATGTTTATTGTTGGGTTCGAGGTGTGTTCGGGATTAGTCGGGATTAGGGTCAGGGTTTAGGTGCGACGTTTGTGTTAGGGTGGAAATCCGGACTTGGATTGAGGTCGGGGTTAGGGTTGAGACTTCGTCGGTGCCGTGAGTTGTGATTGAGGCTGGCTTACTGTATATTGGAGGCGAGTTCAGGGCCGTTATGTGGAGCAAAGTGAGGTTTTGAGGTGGTGCTTGAAGACTGGATTTGGGATCGGAGTTAATGTTTGGAGTTGGATTCGAGGTGAGGGGTGGAGGTTGCCATGGTTGAGTTCTCCATTGAAATTAAGTTTGGGTTTTTGGGTCAGTGTAGAGTTGAGCTTGGAGCGTGCTTGGATGGGCGGATCTCCGTGCATTACAGTTGTTGTTGGCTGCCCAGGCTATGTTGTGAGCAGTGGTGGGCAGTGCAGCCACATACAAAGGTGGACTTATATCTGTTTTTGTCCTCCTCTTTAAATTCAACACTCACGTCTGCGCAACCTGCACTTAACCAGCGTGGCGAAGTATGGTCACGTAACAGGACCCGGAGGGCGTGGGGAGGTCCTCCTCCTCCAGTAGCGGGCCGACACAAACACAAGGTGACTGCGCACACAGATGTTTGAGGTCTGCATTGCTATTGAGGTTATCGTTGTTTTGTAGATCACCGTTTGCTCCCGGGCAGTCCTCTGCACGCCCCGCGCACCCACCCAGTCGTCTCTAAAACTCAACGTCGCGCGATCCTCTCCTCCACGCGCGTGAACACATCGCCCTGCGCCGCTCGTCACCTCCGATCGCGTCATCCACCGCCGGCAGCAGCGGGCGAGCGACCCCCCCCCAACGCGCCATGGACAGCGACAGGGAACGCGCGGCCGAGGATCGGGGAGGCAGCCCCGGCGAGCGGGGGAGCCCTGACAGGGACCGCGACGAGAGGATCAAGACCGGTGAGAGGGCCGCCCCCTGCCCACCGCGCAGGGTGGCACGCGGCTACAGGCGAACAAAACCTGCACGGGCCCTGGTGAGGTGTTGCCGTGGGTAGAGGAGAGTAAAGGGTGAAGTTTGGGTTTCAGGGTACGGTGCGGGTCAGCGGGGGGAGGGCTTTTACCAGCGGCAGGTTTAGGGTCAGGGGTAGAGTTGCTACTCGTGCTTGTTTGAGGTCATTGAGAGGACAAGTCGAAGTGGTTGTTGTTGGTTCGTGTTTGGGGTAATGCTCGTACTGTGGTCCCGTTTGTTGGGTCCGGTGAGAGGGCTGATAATAGTGGCTGGTTGGCTTCTTGGCCCAAGGTAGGCCTATTGGGAGTGGCTGGTTGGCTAGGGCTCGTACCATCAGGCTAATATCTCTTCAAGTGAATAAGTGGCAGTGCTATCCTGGTGGTCCTGAGCCAGAAGGAGAAATTCCACATTCCTATGCCTGGGGTCAGTCTAGCCATACATACTGCTGATGGTATCTGTAAAAGTGGTAACCATATAATTGACTCCACAGAGATGATTTGCTGAGCTGTGCCAGCTCAGGAATTGATCTCGCAACCTTCCGATTGTGACACAGGCCAAACCAACACACGCAATGTAATTGGCCAAGCACCCCAATGCAGTACTCCGACTGAAAAATTATCTTGCGCCTCAGTGAGGATGGTGATTTAGCCTAGCAGTAGCGCACGCATTTTCCCCTTATGTCTGGAACAAGCGGTGAATACGCACCCGCTGTACCACGGTTCGAATCCAGCGCACGTTTCGATTTCCTGATCAATACTGCGGATGTGTTGATGACGACAAACACGCGCAGTCCCATTCACAGTGGGCCGGTAAAGAACCCGTGACGTTATTCGCGAGAGTAAGGTCACCGTATGCCCGAGTCGCGGTCCGTCCAAATTTGCCCAAAATAGAAAAATGCACCGTGAATTACTCAACCAGAATCTATGTGGGAATCATCGGCCCACTCCTGCAAACACTTGGCAGGGAAAGTAGTCACGTGACTGAGAGGGAGGCTTTCCTGGGTAAACAAGCATAATAATGATGATAATTGAGGCTTTCCTGAATAAATGTGACATATTACGGCCATAATCAAAGCACCCCCCTCCTCCCGCAGCCTATAACACCTGGTATGCTTGGTGGTCACCCATAGAGCAGTGCGGCAAAAGTCATTATCGTGTCCTCAAACATCGATGCTCTCCACTTTCGCCAAGCCCGCACTGGCCTGCGCGGTGTAGTATGGTCAAACGACCACCACAACCCGCTCAGCATGTGGAGGCCCCCTCATCCAGCAGTGGATTGACAAAAGGAACTGTACACGTGGAACCCCAGCGCTTCCAAGCCAGATTAAATAGTAATTATAGACGATCGTAAGTCACCGCTTTACTAATCTGTGCCCACGAGTGGTTCGGTGCAAGGATGGGGGAAGCGCGAATGTCTATTTTTGAAGCCACGTTTACAAACAAGAACAAAAAAATCGCTACGATCCGACGTTTTGCACGCAGCACAACAGTGGCCCGGGTGGTCGTGCCTTAGCGCCTCGCGTCATGGCTTCGAACAAAAAAATAAATAATCGAAAACCGTCTTCGGAAGGCCGTTCGAGTGGCTTTGAAAGAAAATCGGCGCAGTGTTTTAAAATGTGAAAAAAAAAAGTTGGAGGTCACGGAAGGAATGTTTTCCGAGACTGATCCGGCCACCTCCTGGGGCTGCACGACCCGGGACAGTGGTTAAGGTCACGCTGCCCTTGGGCCATGCGGGATTACTGTGCCGCTGTCGCTGATTCCTGTTTTAAGTGGCGTTTCCCCCCCCCCACTTCTCTCTGGTGCTGCTCAGTACGGGTGGATTAGTGTGCAGCTCGCTCTGCTTTGTGGTTTTATTGGAGTTGGGTTTTTTTCTGCTCTTTGTGTTTGGTTTTGGGGGTTGGCGTGCGTGCGTGGAAGATGAATGCCACGTCGGTTTACGCCGCCGTGCCTTTGCGTGCGTGGGTGTGGGCGTGAGTGGATTTTCTTTTCATCAAGACTTGTGCAGCCAAAGTCACTTTTCATCATCGCTTGGCAGCTTTGGCGACCAGACCAGACTACCAGATATTAAAGCAGTAGCTGCAGTAGCCATAATTATGGCTGCTGCTTTTTATAATCATAAGGCCTCGCCAAGCCGCCACTTTTGCCACCTTCCACGATATTGCATTAAATTACAGCAGTCGCATAATATTAGTATGATTTATTATTGATAAGCCGTTATCAAGCCTTTTCTTTTTAGAAGGGGCCCTACTTTGAGATGCTTGGCCAATCTCTTTGTTTGAACACGTCCTGAAATAAAACCCAAAGAGCCTGGAGTAAACCCACTTTCACGAGAAGTTGCCATGTAAAACACTGCAACGAATGCCACGGCTTTTCCACTTGCTGCACTACCTCCTTAAGGCACCTCGTGGTTTTCCACTCCATTTGCAACCACATAAATTATCGATCGGGAATTAACCAAACGTTCCACTGCAGGCCGCTAGTCTCGGCGCTAAGTGAGGCTTATTCCTGTCTTGGTGGGCTGCTGTTTGCAAATGTATTGAGTGCCACAATGGCGAGACTCCCTCGCCTGGTATGCAGGAGTTTGTGGGTTCGATCCCGACCTTGACGCCTGCTGCATATTTGGAGTTTCCCCCTGATCGCGGGGATTTTTCTCCGTGTCCTCCGTTTTTTTTACTCAACGTTTATAAATATGAATTTAGAGTATTTACTGGGTGTTGGTGGCCCTGAGCAGGAATCGATCTCTGGTCGCCGGCTTTCGTGGCGCAGCGCGCTAACCACTACCCCCCCCACCTCCACACCCAGAGCCCGAGGATGAATGGACGGAGGCGCCGCTGATAGAGGAGTCTCGCGGCGGCGGCGGCGATGACGATAGCATGGCCGCGCTCGACGGAGTGTCGACGTCGCCTGGGACTGGCGAGGGTCCCGCCGGGGACGGCGGCCGCGGCACGCCGGGTCCCGGTGACGGGGCCGGCGCCGCTGCTTCACAGGCGCAGGCCAGCACCAGCTGGTCCGGCCTCGTCGACTACCTCATCAAATCAGGTGCGCGAGTACGCAACAATTCATGTTGTTGCTTAATTTTTTATTTTGTTGTTGTGTGAGCTTGTTTTTACCCAGGAAAGAGTTTTTTTCAGGAGGGTCCTGATAAGTGTTCGCAGTCGCGTGCAATCGATTGCTTAGGCATTTCCCAATCAAGTCGTTGCGAGCATTTTTATTTTTTATTGGGCAAATGTGGCCCACGGTGCCGGTACACGGCGTCCTCCTTCTCTGGACGAGGGTTCAAGAGTGGGGGTGGCCACGCAGAAGCCACTCGAAGCCACACGGGAAGCTTGAGCTGAATTAGATATTTTGGCAGTGCAGTTCACACCGTTATGTATTCTGCAGAGTTATTACTCTAAGATTACATTCCACTGCAGATCCTGCACATTCACCATCGAGTGCAGGCAGCCATTGATAGTTCTGCGACGGCTAATATGTCGGCATGCCCTCGTGAAGGTATCCGTCCTTGTGTTCGCGTGTCCTCGAGTGTCAAGGGTACAGCCTCCAGTGAAGGTTGCTTCCGATTAAAAGTGCAGCGTCATTGCTGTCGGCGCCGCCGCCGCTGTGCCCCTGGCACCGCCGCCCGGCGATGATGGCCACCGCCGCAGCTGTGCTTCTCTCTCTGGCGCGATTTACCGAATGGGGAAAAATAATTGGCGAAAACTTGTCGCCAGTTTATCCCCCGAGAAGGCCTCGCCGAGACTCTCGGCAGAGAACCCGACACGGTCGTCAACAATCCTGTGTCGCCGTATAAGATCAACAAAAAAAGAAAAGTTAAGGCAAAGTTTCGGGCAACGGTCCTTCTTCATGGCACACCTTTGAGTTTGGAACTTAAATAATATGTTTTTAAACCTTTGCAACAAAACAAATAAACGCAGCTCGATTCTTGCGCACGATGGCAGCTGTACGCTCAGGAGCTCGGTGTTGGGCCATTGTTGAGGTCTGCTGCCGCTGGGCACGACGAGAGGGCTTCGGGAGAGAGAGTTTGCGTCGTTTTGCTGTTCCTCCTGCGTTGGAGGAGCGCAGACCATAGTGGTTTTTACTTACGCGGGCCATAGTTTGGGTTTCTTGGCCGCAATCGCACTGTGGCTTGTCTTTAATGTGTCTCTATGTATCTCTATCTTCTTGCGTGTGGAACTATGTCCTTGGGCTGGATGCCAATGTCGGGGTCCGCTCGCCATGACGAGAGGTCTTCGGGAGAGAGATGTAGCGTATCGTCGGACCTTTTGTTTGCCAGTATCAAAGTATGAAAATTAAGAATAGGTTTTAAAATCTATTCTTATTTTTCTGATTTTGCGTAGTTTTTGTTTGTTCCTCCTCCGTTGAAGGAGCACAGACTACAGCGGTTTACTTATACGGCCCCTACAGGAGTTTTATATTTGGTGGGAGATGGGAGGTAGCCTTCCTGCTGCGTTCCCACTTGTTTCGCGTCTTAGCGCTACCTTCAACGCAACCAGTTACCATCATCCAGGCGAGATGAACGCCGTCGAATTCGGACATGATCAGTGGAGCTAAATGAATGCAATCAAAACATCGCGGAGTCCCGTGTCGATATTGTGGGGGCGGGGGGGTTTGGGTGAGTTTGCTGGGTGTGGGGGGGGGGAAGAGGGCGGTGATGGGGGGGTCTGCCTGTCCGTGCACTCTTGGGTCGAAGAGGGCCCTGCATTGCCGTGCTTGGCCATTTCATTATTCATGAGATTTTTGGCACGAGAGTAAAAAACACTCTCGCGTTGGAAGGGAATACCGCTCCAAGCGCACTGCGCGTAATTTACCGGGAAACGGCTCGTGTCCGTGGCTAGTTATTTCTCGAGTGGTCCTGACCCACGCCCCCCCTCCCCCCCCTGACTTCGCCAGCTCATTGGCCGGTGTGGTGAAGTATGATCAAATAAGCCCCATGGACGACACCGCGTGGGGGGTGGCCCTAATTCGGCAGTGGTGCGACGAAGAACCGTGAATAACTGTCCACCTACAGACGTTTCGTCAATCCACTGCTGGATGAGGGTCTCCCGTCCTGGTCGTCAGGGCTGTTTCACCATACTTCCCCGCACCGGGCAGCGTGGGTTTGCGTGAATGCGGGAAGCGTAGGCTTTTGGAGGTTGGTACGGTCCACCGATGGATTTACTTTTGGGATGACGTGAGTTGTCGTTGCTCGGCCCGTGCAGAGCTGCAGAAGTGGCATGGATCGCCGTCGAGCTCGCCGGGGCTGTGCGTGCCCTCCGGCCCGAGTCCGTCTTCCCGTCACTTCTCCCCCTCGCTGGGCGGCGGAGGCGGCGGTGGAGGCGGCGGTAGCGGTGGGCACCGCGGCGCGGGTACCGGCACGCTGCTGCTGTGTGAGGTGTGCGGAGACCTGGCGTCGGGCATCCACTACGGAGTGTACGCCTGCGAGGGATGCAAGGTATGGAGGGAGGCAGGGAGGGAGGGATGCAGGGAGGCAAACACGTGCACGTCATTTTAAGGGGATCTCATTCCAGGTTCTCACCGTGCCTCTGCCGCCCGTTCTGCCGTCGGCGAAGGATTCATCGTTGTTGTAATTTGCACTGCCGCCGTTCCCCAGAGTGGGCGACCTCACAATCAAAGTCGTCGTTTAATTAATTGTTCCAATAGTATACGTGGGGTGTCCGTTTAAACTTCCGCACTCAGATCACTTATTGCCTTCTTGTGGATGAGGCGGGTGCTTTGACACAGGCACGGACCTGAACACGCAGTCGCCATCCCAGCGTGGGTGAAAATGTCACGTTGCCCCACTCCCCTTGTGCCCCCCCGCACCCTCTCTCTCCACCCGGCAGGGGTTTTTCCGGCGCACGGTGAGCACTCAAGTGCAGTACGAGACGTGTCAGATGAACTGCGTCATCCAGAAGAGCAACCGCAACCGCTGCCAGTTCTGCCGCTTCCAGAAGTGCCTCTCCGTCGGCATGTCCCGCGACTGTGAGTGCCGCACGCACACCACAAAGGTTTCCCCGTGTAGCCTTAACAGAATGTCGGGGCAAGGGCTGTTGGTGAGTAGCACATATGAAGGCCGGCACGTTTGCACACGGCGGCGTGGGTGGCCAGCACCACTCCCCGCCGCCTTTGCCTCACCAGTGGCAACGTTTTTTACACACTGCACCAGGTACTCATTTGAGGCCGAGTCGACCTAGGGGAGGCCCGGAACCGGTTCAGATAATCTTCACTGTTATTGGTCGTGAGCGGGAATCGAACAAGGCGCTTCACATAGTTCAATACAAAGGTAACCAAATAGAATGAGATCGATGGCAGGGGCGTGCATGGGCTTAGGAATGGGTGACACAGAGAGAGGGTGCCTAGGGGTCTCGAAAGGGTCGGGGAGGGACGGGAAGGAGTGGAGGGAAGAGGAAGGGAATGGCGATAGAGAAGAGGTGGGTCTTGAAGAGAGGAAGGAGGTTAAGGAGGGGGGAACTGCTTCATGTACAGGAAAGGTCCACTTTGAGCCTCTTACTTGAAGTGGCATTGAAGGCTCGCTGGCAGAGGGTCACGCGACAGCCCCAGGTGCTGTGAAATGACTGGCAGACGCGCCACCTGCGCACCCTCACTGCGCCGCCTTGGTGTGTTTTAGCCGCCCGGCGCTCTTCTCGCATCGCTCCGCCGCCCTACATTGTTTGAGGGCGGCAGCTCGCACCTGCCCAGCAGCGTCCTTAACGAGTCTCCTGCACAGAGGCGCGTAGCAAAGTCCCGGCTTCGTTAAGCAACCGCTCTTGGTCTTTAATGCATTCGTACTTTGGGCCCCCCCTTACACCTCATCTCCCGCCCTCCGCCCCGCAGCTTCTCGCCGGGGTCGGACCCCCCAAGCGGCCAAGGTGCGTCCGCTAACGCGGCCTTCGAGCAGGAGCCCCCACCGGCCCCTCGCTGGACAGGCCCTGGGAGAGGAGATCACAGGTACCGCACCCGCACCCCCTTGTGCGGCATCCTCCGCCGCTGGCACTAGGATTTCAACTCTGCCCGTTCGGGGCCCGTGCTGCTGCAGATCATCACTGGTGCAAATTTGCCAATTTTTTTATTACTCGCGTATTCCGCAATTGAGTGACATCGCGTGGCTACATCGCCCCGTTCCTGCGACCCGACTCCGATGAGCACGGTTGGCTACGTACGGTGCGAAAGAAGTCATACATACACACACTGCAGGATGCATCGGTGGAAAACTCAATCGCTCTTCTGAGTGAGACTTAACTACAAACACGAGACCATAGAGAACATGACTTCTTCCGGTCTCAAATATACAAGTGAAGGTGGTTGGTGAGAGAATGAGTGTGTGGGTGAGTGAGTGGGGAGCGGTTGTGTCGTGGTTAGCCCGCTGCGCTAAGAACCCGACTATGACCCGAGTTCGATTCCCACTCGTGGTCGACACCAGTGACGATTATCTGAAATTGGTTCTCAGCCCTCCTCAAGGTCGACTCAGCCTAAAACGAGTACCTGGTGGAGTGTGTAAACATTGCAACTGGGGAGACAAAGGAGGCCGGGCGTGGTGCTGGCCACCCTTCCACCCCCTTGTGTGCTGTTCCGGCCTTTATAGGTGCTTCTGGCTAACACCACTGACCCCTACAGTCTATTGAGGATATATGGCGGGGGTCTTTGTGTTTGTTGGGGTAAGTATATCTGCAAAGTCGACACGGACAATGCAGCATCGCTCCGTAATGTCTCTTGAGAAGCGATCGTATCCAGGCTCCGTGTAAATCGACGGACGCTGCGTCACAGCCATTGATCGCCGTTAATGGTCCCTCTCCTCCTCCTGCCTACCGCTGTGGCTGCTCTGGCTGCTGCCGCTGCTGCGCTTGCTGTTGCAGAGTTCGGGACCTATGAGACCAAACCCTTGCCGCTGTTGACGGCACGTTCGACGCTGGCCGACATGCTCACCTCGTCCACGCTCTCCACCTCGTCGGGAGGAAACCGCACAGCCGCCTCCTCGTCGCCGGCACCCATGTGGGATGGGCCCCGTTCCGCCTCCGTACGTCGCCCACCGCCCCCTGCGCGTTGCCGCCCCCCTCCCCCCGTCCGTACCGATCGCAGTCGAGGTTGAGTTGCATTGCTGTGGCCGCCGAGGCCGTGCGGCCCAATGTCCTTTGGACGCCGCAGGGCGGATGTGAGACCTGTCCTAGCCGCAACGTTTGGGAAGTATATCCGGCATACCGTAACTAAATTAAATGGTGCAAAACCACAGACTTTTTCAAACATTTACACGCAATTGAGGATAGGGGTTGGCGCTTCGACCCGTTAGTGGCGGTTGAACGCCGCGTGGACGATGCGACGGTAACGTGTTGACGGGCGTCGCTCTCGTCGCGCCGCGCCTTCTCCGCAGCCCGTGTGCCTCGACCTGCGGCAGCACCTCCCGGCGCCGCGCCGCTCTCCTCCGCGCCCGTGGGACGGCCGCTCGTGCGGCCCAGCCGCCGACGCCCCGTCGCGCTGCCGCGCCTTCGACCTGCACCCGCACCGCGACCTGCACGACGCCTACGACGGCCTGGAGCCGGCGGACGAGGACGGCGGCGACGACGACCTCGACGTCGGGGGGGTCGGCGTTGGCGGGGTCGGCGCTCGCGAGGAAGCGGACGCCTGCGGCAGGGCCGGCCCCGGTGGGCTGCGCGCGGCGGAGGCCCTGCGCGTGCTGGCGCGGCACACGCAGGAGGTGTGGCCCGTGGCACGAGGGTCCGCGCCGGCAGAGGCTCGCGCACGCCCGCCCGGCGCCGCTCAGCACGCGGTACGTCGCGGAGGGACGGACGCGCCGTCGCGTGCCTCGCGAGGTTTGGTTCGCAGCCGAGTCGGGCGCCAAAGGGAAGAGTAGAACTCGGTTTCAAGGTTATTTTGTTTTTAACGGGGTAAGAACTCCAGAGAGCAGGGCGCATCTCATTTGCCGGAGTGACCAAAAAGGCAATACATTGAATAAAGTACAACGATAAAGTGATTAGAAATCGAGAGTACAGGAGAAAGCGGAAATGTTGCAAGTGTCGGAATATTGCAAGGGGGGACCATACCTTAGCAGGTCGGGCATCGGCTTTGAATTTCACAGAAGGGAAGGGAGCCGCGTCATGGCGCGGCTTCGACCGTCGTAACCCTCGGCTGACCGTTTGGCGCGGTCCCCCACAGCCCAACGCTCGCGACGAGCTGCGGCGCGCGGCCCGCGATCTGCAGCGCTTCGCGAGCCAGCAGGACGTGCTGCTCAAGGGCGCGCTCTACGACTGCAGCCAGGGCCAGCCGGCCGACGCGGCCCGCCTGGTGCACGAGGCCCGGGACCTCCTGCGCTGCGTCCGCGAGGGCCTGCGTGCGCGCCTCGACGCGGTCGCCGACGGCCTGGACGCAGCGACGGCCGGGCCGCATGGCGGAGCGGAGGGGGCGGCGGAGGGGTCCGCGCCGGCCTGCGCCAGCCCCGCGTCGCCCGAGTGGAGGCTCTCTTCCGAGCTGGGCGCGGCCGAGAGGGGGCGCATGCTCTAGGGGTGCCGGGCGCGCGCCGTTCGTCTCGAGCGATCGGATAAATAGCCGGTGGTGGCCCGGCGGCAGCAAAGAGTCGACGTTTGTCAAAGGGATCGAGCCGATGTTAAGTGACTGATACGACAAGCAAAAAATAAAAATTATAGGATTATTTTTTTCCTGCCAACGTGAAAGTTGTTGACGTACCTGGCTGCCGCATCCAGAAGAGGCTGAAGCACGTGTTTTTTTTGTTAAATCGCGGCACTTGGCATCAACGATGTTTGTGTCGACGTTTGTTCGATGTTGCGAGTGACCCCGCGAATTATCTGCCGCTGACGTGTTTGCTCCCCCATTCCCCCCCACCCCCCACCTCGCTGATTTGATGGTCGTGGCTTCGCAGTGCTTTGCGCCGCGATGGCCGGTACGCAGGGTGCTAAGCGATGTGGGGATGAAAGATATCCTTGGCTCTCGGTTTTTTTTTATATCCCTGGGACTGCAGTTGTCTTCCCCGGGAAGGATAAATGTATCCTTCGCTGTATAAAAGATGTTGCGTAAAAGGGTAAAAAAACAATTATCATGTTGCGTAAGAATTGTTATAATTATTTTTATTCCTCCGACCTCGGCATCTCTGGTACCCCCACCCCTCTCTTGGCTCAAGTCTCACCTTCTCACGCATCTCCGTATCCTCTCCCTCCCCCTTTCACTGTCGGTGTTTCGCAGGGGTCGGTTCAGGGCCCCTTACCATTCCTTCTGTGTATTTCGCCCCTTGAATCTATTATCTCCTCTTTCTGCTTTCCTCGCCAAATTATTTGCTGATGACACCCAAATCTTCTCCTTTCCCTCTTGTATCCCTGACCTTTCCTCTCGTATCTCCAACCTCTTGCCTACCTATATGAACTGCAATTTAATAGAAAGTTTTTTCAGGAAACAATCCTACCTGCTATAAAAGGCAGGAGATGCGTACATCCCGGCAGCGTCCCAACGTACAGTATCGTACCTCGTACGCTGCTGCGTTTGCCTGCCGCGCGAAATTTTTAATATTTTACAATTTTGTCGTATCGCCATCGTAAGATCTAAATATCGTAAGTTGGACCATTGTAACTCGGGGACTATCTGTAGTTAGGAAACACAAATATGATCCGATCATGAGTTTGATACACGATGAGCTGCACTGGCTACCTATGAAATGCAGGATTGCGTATAAATTATGCCTACTCGTTTTTAAGAGTCTCCAATTTGCTCCATCCTCTCTCGCCGATCAGTGCGTATCAGCTTCAACGGACCCAAATCCACTCCGACTACAATCCGCGGCTCGCGGCGACCTGCTGCTGTACCCCACCGCGCGATGCGGCCGGCGCAGTGTCCCCGGCCCAGCGACGCTGAAACACGCTGCAGCTCACGCTCGGGATCCATCCCCGAGTCTGAGCCAGTTCTGCAAGAGACTCAAAACGGTGTTGCTGCTGTTGTTTCAGAGGCGACTTCAATGTGTGATCAGTATGTGATCGATGCGCACTCGTGATGGACTGAACTCATAAGAGTGCGCGCTAACAAATGTTCTTACTGAAAATCTTTCCATGGCCGTGCCCCACCTCATCTCTTCTCTCTCATCTTTTTCCATGTCCCCCCCCTCTTCATTCCCAATTCTCTTTCCGTCTCTCTCTGTCCCTCCTCCCCGTGCCCAATCCCGTGTTCGGCCCTTCTCCCTCCCTGTACCCTTCCCACTCGCATCAACTCCCCCTGGTACATTGAGCAGCAACCCCCCCCTATAGACTCAACACTACTCACAGACTCAACACTGCACATAGACTCAACACTGCACCATAGACTCAACATTGCCCATAGACTCAACACTGCACATAGACTCAACACTGCACCATAGACTCAACACTGCCCATAGACTCAACACTGCCCATGGACACTTCCCATCGACTCAACACTGCCCATAGACTCAACACTGCCCATAGACTCAACACTGCACCATAGACTCAACACTGCACCATAGACTCAACACTGCCCATAGACTCAACACTGCACCATAGACTCAACACTGCACCATAGACTCAACACTTTCCCTGCATATGAAGCAGTCCACCTCCTTAACTTCCTTCTATTCCTCTCTTAAAGCGTCACCTCTTCTCTATTTCCCATTCCCTCCCCTCGCCCCTCCACTCCTGCCCGTTCCTCCCCTGGCCTTTCATGATCCCTAAGTGCCCCTATATCGCTGCTACTCATTCCTCAACCCTTGCACCTTGCCCGCCCCTGCCATTGAAATCCTCCTATTCCGTCGCCGTTTTTGAAAACCATGTCAAGCGCCTTGAGTGAAGGCGTTCTATAAATATAGATGAGACGAATATTATAAATAAATAAATAAATACTGATGACATTAGATGATCCAGGAAAGCCATGCCGGGTCCAACGATTTTTCCAGGAGACTGCTACGTTGGGTTCTCATTTTAAGATTTTTTTTCAGGCAATTAACGATGAAATGTGTGTACTTGCGGGAGAAAACCGGGGCAGGGGGGTGGTTCAACAACCGTCGCCGTACAGATGGGAACAGACGGAGACATTTGCCATCCCACATTCCCCTGGCACCTCCGACGCCCGCAGCAAGGGAGTGTTCACAGCGTATTGCGCGATCCCAGCAACCCTCGCCTCCGATGGCACGTACGGAGCCACCGCCGAGTTGATGCCGCGGTTGAGCCTGGGTAGCGCTTGGAATGCATGAGAGGAGACCGCAATGCGTGCCGGGTTGTCTGCAGATTCTCCGGTTTTCTTCCCACAAGAAGCCAAACGCTCGTTATTAGAATCCCTACGCAGCAGCATCAGCATCTTCCTGCAGAAGTGTTTTGAGACTCTGAGGCTTCACATGGTAAGCATGTAAAATTATTATTTCCAAGTACATATTAATCATTTGCACTTAGGCGCCTTTTATTAAATGCTGTAAGGTGCCGTGCATGAAAGACGAAGGATAACGAGGCTGGAGCAGGGGCGGAGCTAAGATTTTGACTTCAATATTCTGAGATATACAGTGTATGTTTTCCAATGGGCGCCACAAATGAATAAAACACATTTTTTTTGTATTGAGCGCGGCGAGCTGACATGCTCATGAACTGCTGGACAATATCGGAGAGATCGAGGGACTTCGCGATAGCCTTCTCGATGTATTTCACCATCACGTCGTCGCCCCTGCTGGTGCGCAGCCGCGTCTTCAAGATTTTCATGGCGGAGAATGTTTCGCTCGGTGGTGGCCGTAGAGATCGGGAGAGTCAGGATCAGTCGAATGAGCTTATACAACTGAGGAAATACGCTTACAAGTTTGTGCTTGCAGAAAACGATGCTCAGTTGCTTCAGATTAGATTTGACTGGCGTTCTCCTCGTCACCGGTGAACATGACAAACTCAACAAGTTCCTGTTTAAGCGAAGTCAGATCCAGCTCTCGAAACCGGCCTTGTACATAGCCGCCAACTCAATGATCTGCTCTTGATTTAACTGGTACGATTGGAAGTTGTCAACTGGGTCGAGGTAAAGGATCGTACTGAGCAGTTCACAGGCATCGGGAGAAAAGCCATGGTTGAGTTCAGCTAATGTGGAGTCAAGAACAGCATTAAACAAGTCAATGCGGTAATGATCTTTGATGGTTCGCGGCACATGACCAGGAGGAAGGTGACGAGGACGACCTCGCGCTAGCGAGATGTCAGTTTATTAATAGGTCGGAGCCGCTGATGTGGCTAATAAGTTTGAAAGGCCGCCGCTCAAGCAGCCAGCATTTTGCAGCAGCTGGATATCCGGTTATCCCGATTATCGACTTTCCCAAAATTTCAGGGGGGGCTGAGCCCCCCCTGTGGCTCCGCTCCTGGGCTGGAGGCAGAATAGGAGCAGAAGAGGAACCACGCTGAACCAGGGCAAACGGATTATCACTTTCATAACAGGACTTGAAGGTGCCACCATTTATCTGCAAGCCTGGTCTCCATGTGTAAAGGAGAGCGGGCCATCAGTCGGGAGTGGCGGAACGTTTTAGCTCCATTCCACTAACGAGCCGTCGTGATGTCGGGAGGCCACTGGAGTGCACCCTGGTACGACCCCACGCGTCCCAGAGAGGAATGCTCGAACCTTGCGAAATCATCCTGGTTTTTTGTTTTTTAACCCCATCCCCCCCCCCCCCCCCCCCCCCCCCCCACTGGAACGTTGAATCATTACACCGCTGCGATCGTGTGGCATTTGGCTGCATTGCTGCCGCTGGATCCGTGACAACGACATTGAATAATGGACAAGAGCGGCGTTAGGTTTCAGCTGGGGGGGTGGGCCCAGCTGGGTGGGGGTCTGGGAGGGTACGATACGAAACATCTTGTCGATCTTGCTCGGATTCAAAGAACGTTGAATACATATTGTGGGTTCATTCTCCAATACACCGGTATGCGGAGCTAGCAACGAATTGGCATGTTCTGTTTACGTGACAAACCTTACTAATTGGCTGTGTCGGGTGGTGGCGGGTTTAACGACACGTTTATATTTACGCGATCTAACCCCCAAAAAAAACCCTCTTATGGATCCAAAGACGATGGACAACATCGACTGGGATCCAGAATGCGCACCGCGGGAATTCCGCGAAGCGAGGAAGCGGGCGAGAAAGGAGCGCTCAGTGGCCCGCAGGAACACGGCCCGCCCGTGTTTCCTCCGGAGGAAGCCAAAGGGCCGTCTTTGAGGCGTTCGTGCGGTGGTCGCGACGTTTTAATTTGTGTTCAGTTTTCGTCCGGGGCGACTTGGCCGCATACGTATCCCCGACCGCGCGATCCGTATTGTTGTCCAGCGCCCGAAGGGCAAATGTTTTTGTAATTGCTCGTTGAGCTCCCGCGCGTTATTCCTCTCCGGCGAATGGCACGGAAACTAAAAGTTTTGCGAGCGGCCGGGGCTCGACACGAGACGACCTCTGCGTACCAGCGAGGCCCCGGAGGGGGTCGCGGACGATTCCAGCCTGATCGCCGGGGCCGCTGTTTTGATGCCCCAGCTGAAGGCCGCGTCTCGGCAGGTGTCATTCCGTGCGCTTGGAACTCCGCGGCACGCAGAGCCACGGCGGCGCCGCTGCGGCCGCCCGGGCCTTGGCCACGTCGCAGCGTTGCTCCAAAGCTGCGCTGCGTCCAACTCGTCCCGCAGAGGAAAAAAATGGACAATGCGTCATTGTTGGCTGAGAGCCATCAGGCTGCGAGAACTTGGTGGGATTTGGTTGTTCTCTGCCTGTCGCCACAAGACTGCTGGGTGGCAGGGGGAGATAATTTTGTTTTGCGCCGGGAGAGACGTCACCACCTCCTGGCCTTGTTTTCTAGACTTCGCGGGTGACTATTGCGCCACGGCTATAAGACCAAAGGGCTGGTGTGGGGTCGCGTTCCGAGCGAGCGTGCGAGCAATTGACCGATGTCTAACCACAACCCGCTGTCTTGCGAATGGAACGCCCCTGATGCTTCGATGCAGCGCCGCAACCATCGGAGCGAAATGGTACATCCAGAGCGGGCGGCATATTGGACCAGTGGTGATTCTACTGGGGGCCTAAGAGGGACTTGTGTCCCACTAATGAACAGCTGTGATTCCCCCCCCCCCCCGAACCTTCCCACCGCCCCCCTCCCCCATGAACAACGATTCAGAGGCACTATGAGTGATTGGGGAGGCAGTCGACTTGAAGTGGTGGAAGAGTTCATCTTTGCCGAAGTGGTCGACCGCACTTCGCCATTGCTCCCTTCCAGTTGCAGTCAACACCTGACCTCTCAGGACCGCTGTCAGTCTCCCACTGGTGGAGTGTCGTGCCGTGGATGTTGTTTGCCTCTCCCCCCCGCATGTCCCCCCGCATCTCCCCCTCCTAGGGGCCCCTCCATTTACCGTGCCCCGAGGATCGCCACTGTGACGCCACTGTGACGTCACTGTGACGACGTGACGTCACTGTGACGCCACTGTGACGACGTGACGTCACTGTGACGCCACTGTGACGTCACTGTGACGACGTGTGTCTGTGCGGTCGAGGCCGCCGAGTTCGCCGCCCGCTGTTGAATGGGAACGAGGCCGCAGCGCGAACCGTCGCGTCCCTGCGCTCCGCTACTCGCTTCTAACGGGAAACATATTTTGTTTGTCTCCCTTGAAGGCGATTCCTCGCTTATTCCTCAAGGCAATTCGACGCACAAGCGAGTTTTTTTTTAATATCCCTAAAGCAAGATGTGTGATGCGTCCTTACCCAGAAGGGGGAGACGCGCGGCGTCATCGTCGTCCCCTGTTTGCTTGTAAATTGAAGGGTGGCGTCGATTGACCCCCCCCCCTCCTGTTCAATGTGAAGAGTAGAGGCCATATCCGGGGAAGTATGGACCTTTGCCGGCGACCGCCTGGCTTGGCTTGGCCGCCGACCTCTCGGATCGCGCTTTCGTGGCCTCGAGTTTTCTCTTAATTTTTGTTAAATGGTCCGAGGGGTTTTAGTCCACGAAACGTCGCATCTGCGAACCAGAGAGCAGCGTCTGGTGCGCTGCTCAGTGGCCGCGAACGACCTCTCGCGGCCTGCGGAAGAGCCGGTCGTTCTTCTCGTGACCGTGGCCGCACTTTGGCTCAAAAAAACCTTTAAACAAAAGATGTTTCTCGTTCGCGGCCCCTTTTGACCTCGGCGAGCAGCAGTGGCGAGGCGCGAGCCGCAGCGCGAACGAGTTCAAGAGTTGTCGAGAGACGCACCCCCCCCCCCATCGCTCCCACACAGGGTCATAGGCAGCGTATTTGTTTGTGAGCTCGGAAGCGGGGGGCTGGTGGCTCCTCTCTGCGTGGCTCCGTGCGGAGCTCGGAGAGGAAATCGCCGGCAAGCTTTGCGAGGCCAGTCCACTGTGGCGGCGGCGGTGCTGGTGGCGCCACAACTGTGCTGCTAAACCGGCGACCCGAGTTCGATTCCCGCTCGTGTCCAACAGCTGATGAATACGTGACACACGTGTTCTGGCTTTCCTCCGAGACCGACAATGGCCTTCGATGAGCGCCTGGCGCTGGGGGGGGGGGGGTTGAGGCGGCCTGCCGGGCGTGGTGTTCGCTAACGGCGCCAACACGAACAGCCTGCTCAGGCTGTCAGGGGGAAGAGGAGGAGGAGGGCATCCCCTTAGTCTGTGTGTTTGTCTCGGCGGGTTTCAATAGAAGATGGGCGTCTGCTAATCCGATCCGGCTGAAAGCCTGGAGCCCTTGAGGACCACGCTGCACGGCGCGGCGTTAGCCGGCAGCCACGTGCGAGTCCACGAGGGCTGGAGTTGAGCGGACACCATCGCGCCAGCGTGCATCTCGGCTTCAGGGTTCGGAAGGCGTGATTGCGTCCACATGCCCAGCGTCACACGGGCGGGTATCGCGTGTGCATCGCCTAATTACACGCGCGTTCGTTGTTTGTAGATGTTTTGGTTAATAAAATGAAGAGCCTCAAGGTTAAATGGGTGTCGCGTGCGCGCCTTGTTGTTGTTGTCGCGATGGTCGTTCGCTCTGCTGGATTCCCCGACGGCCGGCACGGAACGACCCCCTCCAGTTCCGAGAGTTCGTCGGTTCGAGGCCCAGCTCCGTCATCGACCGTCACGCTGGCCACAGCCTCGCGTCGACAGCGCCACGGGTTGTCGATTCGTCGTCATCACAACCCACGTGGGCACGTGTCCACTGCACACATTTCGTAATTTTTTGTCGCCAATTCGAAGTCCCCCCCCCCCCCGCCATGTACGGCCCGCGACGTCTCACGTGGCTCGCAGCCCTTCCAGGTCTCTGAACTCGATCAGCGCGCGTTCGTTTTCGCATTTTGATTCTTGGACAATGCCAAGCCGTGTTCACCGTGGCCCACCGAAAGACTGCAGTGTTTGGAAGTCCTATTCGGCCCGTAGGTTCCACCGCCTGTGTGCTGCTTTAGATGATGTTCGGGTCTCCGCAGCGCACCACACGCACCGCGGTCACACGGCGAGGTCCCAACATCGCGACCGCCCGGCAACAGGACCCGAACCTTCACCCCGCACACTGACCGTCCATGCCACCCGGCACACACTCAACAACAACAACAACAACCAAACTACAGCGGTCGTGGCAGGTGCGCACGTCTCGTCATTCCGTGCCCCCCCCACCGCTCGCCAGCCCGAGACGATCATCGCGTCCGCCGTCTTTCTTGTCGTGCGGTGACGCCAGCAGCCGCCCGCTCCTTTGATGGTGGTGGTGGTGGACGGTGCCTGTGATGGGTGGACCCCGTGCGTGTGCGTGTGTCCGTGTGTTTGTTCCGCACTTAAAAGCCGAGGCGGGTTCGAGGCTGTGCCACACGGACGCGTGAGCGCGAAGAGGTCGCGGTACAGCGCGGCACGGGTCGGAGCTGTGGACAGTCGTCCGTGCTGACCCGGCATGAAGGGGCAGAGCTAACGGCAGCAACAGCACAGGTATAGATACACACACACACACGCGCGCGCGTATACACACAGGCATGTAAAGATCACAAAGCTCACCCGTGTAGCCTTAACCGTCTGTAGGGACAGGCGCTGTTAGCGAGCACCTGTCAAGGCCGGCACGGTACACGAGGTTTTGGGTGGCCAACACCACGCCCGGCCGCATTTGTCTCCCTTGTGGCGATGTTTAGACACCGTACCAGGTACTCATTTGAGGCCGTGTTGACCTAGGGGAAGCCCAGAGCTGGTTCAGGTAATCGTCACTGGTGTTGACCGTGAGTGGGAATCGAACCCGGTTGACACGCATGTACACATGGCTATGTACTCAGATGTATGTGTTACGGGTGCACATGTAGTAATGACACGCATTTCGTGTACAACAGCACATTTTAAGAAGAGTGGCTTTTATGTTTTCATGCAGCAAAACAGGTAATGTTTTTATATACGTAGGTTATAGTTATTGAAATGAAATAGAGTTTTGAGATTCAACGATAGAATTCAAACGGACATTAGATATTGAACCATTGAAAATAATCAGCTTTACCAATTTGCCCGACTGGTGATGACTAATACATTGGCAGAATATGACCAAATATCTAAACCGGACCATTTCGCCCACACGGGAATCCCTGATAAAAAAAAATATATTTATATTTGTTCCTGATGCTCAAAGGAGCGGTGGGACAGCAGTCGTCGCTGTTGGCAACCCGGAGCCGGTGTTGGAAATGCCACGTTCCTATGACGGGGGAAGGGTGTGTGGGAAGAGGCGAGTCCATAGAAGGAAGATTTCTCAAACGCACGCGCCTTGAATGCGTATAACGGGACCCTGAGTTCAATGGCGCGTGGATTTGGAAGCGACGTCTCGGTGTGTCCGCAATCTCAAGAGGCCGCGACAACGGAGTATGAATATTGCGGAATTCCTGCGAGAAAGTTGTCGGAAGTTTATTTTGTTTGCGTGTAGGCGGGGTGAGTCTCGCTTGCGCGACCTCGTAAACGTACAAAGAGCAAATAGCGTCAACATACATTACAATTAAACTGCAAATAATACAGTTACAATGAAATGTATGAAGAGAAAATAGCGTCAACATACATTACAATTAAACTGCAAATAATACAGTTACAATGAAATGTATGAAGAGAAAATAGCGTTAACATACATTAAATTACTACTAAATTACAATTGATTAAAATTACAAAGAGAAAATTGCGTTAACAGATATTTGTTTAATTAAATTACAATTAATAAAAAAATCATTTATACAGAAAATAGCGCTAACATACATCAAATCACAATTAAATTATAGTTAATTAAAACGTAGAGCAAGCGAGCAAATGTCAAGCGGAGCAACAACAACAACAAAAACAACAACAACAACAAAAACAACAACAACAACAACAACCAATCGCTTTGCCGAAAGACGTTGGAAACGGTTCACAAAACAGGATTCCGATATTCACATTTAACAACAACAATTTGCTTTTTCCTGTAACGAGAAGTCGGCTCGGACACGTCGCCTGGGAGAGAGCGATCGGAGTTGAGTTCAACACATTCGCAATATTTTGGCGATGCCGCTTTGGCAGTGATGGTCAAAAAATATAAACACAGCGTGGTACTTCAAAAATTGTTTAACACTTCTGAGAATTTGCAACAACACCGCAAAAAATGTGCCGCCTCCGGGCTCTGGAGACCACCTGGAGAAGGTTCCAGGCACACGTTGGCAACGATGGCGAACAAAGTGGAGACTACATTTTGATTTAAATCAAAATGTAGGGATTCATATTCTTGGTTCTTTCGGTAAAGTCACGTAGAGGGGAAATAATAAAATAATAAAGAAACTTTGATTTACTTATATTATGACCTTTTGAATCCATGAACACTACATTTGTGATCACGTTACAGTCTATTGTTCTTTTTGCCATTAAAAACGAAGGTCCCGTATAAGTGTTACCATCATTCTGAAGCACTCTGTGTCTACACAGTGTATATATAATCGGGAGATTGGCCCTTCTGCATCGCAGTGGGATTTGGAGCGATCGTTGCGCCGGGCTGCACACAGACAGGGGCGGTGGAAGTGATGCACTCTTCTCTCTTCCTTGCAGAGCGGCGGGCGGGTCGCGTCCCGCCGCTGAATCGGACATGGAGCTCAACTCGTCCCAGCTGTGGGAGCGGAACGGCAGCGGAGACGGATTTGACGTGGCGCGCACGGACACCGCCCAGGTGAGGCGCCACGGTGGCTAGTAGACGTTACCGACCTCGCCTGGGTATGCAGGAGGCCGGCCCTGACGCCTGCTGCTGTGTATTTGGAGTCTGCGTGTGTCTCTCTCTCTTCCTCGCTCCCCCGTGGTCGCGTGGATTTTTCTCTGGGTCCTCCGGTTTTCCCCCTCCACATTTAGAATCAACGTCACCACGCGTTTAGAGTGTTTGGCCGCCGCTATACATTTCCACGCGATAGGCCACTTGGTTGAGCTATCATTTGTGGCCAGATCGCTTCTGGGGAAAAAAAAGAGAGCGACATCGCTCAGTGTTTTGCTGCCTTGCCCAAGTTTGCATTTAACGTTGGAAAAAATCTGTAAATTTGTCTGTACAGTACTTGTGCAATTTCTACTTATAAACTTCATATGTATTTGTGTTGCTCATGTTCAATGCCTCGCTTTGCATTTTTATCTACTTTGCACTCCTGTGGTTGTTTCGTATTGTTTGTTGTTGTCGTAATTTATTTACCCACCCCGACTGGACAAGCGTTAAATAAGAGCTTCATGGCTCATCGGATTCCTCCAACAGTCGAAGCTTAGATCCTGATCCCCCCTCTCTTCTCGAGCGAGCGACATCATCAATGAAGGACATTGCATCATCATCATGATGGTGCAACGTCCTTCATTATTCGAATCAAAATAATGATTTATGCTGGAGCAGTACAAAGCTCTTTTTTTCACAGATGCCCAGTAGCTTTTCACAGATGTCCACCTCCGATGAGCACGGTTGGCTCCGCACGGTGCGAAAGAATTTCAACAAACACACACGTGACAGCTGAGCAGGCGCTCCAAGCTTGACAATCACGATTATGATGACTTTGCAAAAAATCCTTCAATTCTTCACTCCGCTTTGCACTCCCCCACACCCCTCCCCTCGCCCCCCCCCGCCCCCCAACCTGCCCCGTTGCGTGCAGGCGGTGACCTACGACCGCAGCAGCCGCATCGCCACGCTGGCCACGATCTTCGCGCTCTCCGTGCTGGGCAACGCGTGCGTCCTCGCCAAGATCGCGTGCGGCGCGGCGCGCGGCCGCCGCAGGGCCCGCCGCGTGGACGTCCTCTTCAGCAACCTGGCAGCCGCCGACCTCTGCGTGGCCCTGCTCACGCTGCTCTCGCAGATGGTCTGGGAGGCGCTGGAGGACGCGTGGCTCGGAGGCGACGCGTCGTGCCGCGTGCTCAAGGTGCGTGCGGCACGAGTGGCGGCGGGGTGGGTCGGTGGTGGTGGTGCCGGTCACCTCGGTCAGTCAAGCCGTGGCTCCCGAGTCTGTCCCGTGACCTCCGGCCGGCAGCGAGTCTTCGACATTTCACGTGACCTCGATGTGCACCTAGCCTGGCGCAAGCGTTGTGGTGACGTCACCACCACTGAGTGGCGAGCGGTGGCAGGTTGGGTGTTGGTAGTGTGGAGCGGCGGCGCAGCGGTTAGCGGATTGCGCTATGAACCCGGCGGTGACCCGAGTTCGAATCCCGCTCACAGCCACCTCCGGTGACGATTATCTGAACCGGTCCTGGGCCTCCCCTAGATCGACACAACCTCAAAATGAGTACCTGGTGCGGTGTGTAAAAAAACTTCGCCACTAGGGAGACAAAGGCGGCCGGGCGTGGTGCTGGCCACCCAATCCCATCGTGTCTCTTGGCGGCCTTCATAGGCGCTCACTAACAGCACTTGCTCCAGCGGCCCGTTAAAGCTATACGGAGGAACTTTACCTTTGCGGTGTGGTTAGTATGGTGTTGTGTGTGTGGCAAGTGCGGTGTGGTTAGTATGGTGTTGTGTGTGTGGCGAGTGCGGTGTGGCGAGTGCGGTGAGTTCCGTGTCATTGCCGCTGTCGCCGCTTCCGCCGCCCCCCTCGCCGCCTCCGCCCTCCACCCCGCAACAGGTGGCCCAGATCTTCGGTCTCATGGCCTCGTCCAACATGATCGTGGTGATCGCGCTGGAGCGCCACCGCGTCATCCTCTACCCGCTGGAGCCTCCGCTGCCGGCGCGCCGCCTCTGCCTGTCGGCGTGGCTGTGCGCGCTGCTCTTCTCCGCGCCGCAGGCTCTCGTGTTCCGCGCCGTCCACCCGGACCCCGCGCAGTTCTCGCTCTCGTTGTCGTCACCGTCGTCGTCGCCGCCGCCGTCGCCCTCGCCGGCCGCGTCCGGCCGCTGCGTCAGCACTTTCTCCGAGCTGCCCCGCTGGCACTTCCAGGCGTACATCATCTACGGCGCCACGGCCGTGTTCATCGTGCCCTTCTGCGTGCTCTGCGTCGCATACACGCGCATCCTCTACACCGTCTGGAGCAAGGAGCGCTACGCCTCGCCGGCGCGCGCCGTGCCCGGCACCCCGGCCGACTCGCGCCGGAGGCCCAGCAACGGCGGCCGCGCGGCCAAGGGCCCGGCGGCGGCGGCGGGGCCGCTGCGTGTGAAGCCGGCCAACAGCGCGCTCCCCCGCGCCAAGGTGAAGACGCTGAAGATGACGCTCGTCATCATCCTGCTGTTCATCGTGTGTGGGCTGCCCTACTTCGTGCTCGAGATGAAGTTCGCGTTCGGCAGCGCGTCGCGCGCGGACGAGCAAGTCACGGCCGTGCTCGGCATCTTCGTGGCCTCCAACTGCGCCGTCGACCCCTTCGTCTACCTCTTCTTCAGCTCCGACAACCGCTATGTGCGCTACTTGGAGACCAGCCTGTGCTTCGCGTGCCTCCAGGCCAGGGGCCGCGGCCGTCGCGGTGGAGCCGCCGGCCTCGGCGGCGGCAGCGCGGCGCTCGCCGACGGCCGCCGCCAGAGCCGGCAGCAGGGGCACGCGAATGGGCGCGCCGGGCTGCGCCGGGACCGGCAACGGGACCGCCTGCGCTGCGCGAGCCGGCAGCCCGGCGCCGCCGCCGGTTGGACGCTGGGGCCCGCGCTCTGGGGCTGGGGCGGCGGCGCCGCCTACTCGGAGGCGGAGCGTGGAGCGCCGGCGGGCCGGTGGAGCCGAGGGCGCCGCGGGGAGCCGTCCAGCTCGTCGTCCGAGCTGGAGAGCGCGGCGTGGTACGGCACGTCCTTCTCGCTGGGCCACAGCGAGGGGCGATCCGCGAGCGACTACTCGGTGTGCGAGAGCAGCTTCTGAGCTTCGCTCGCACTCGGGCACGTGTGGCCGGGCCACTTTGCGCGCGTGCCCAGCCACCGCATGCCCAGCCACCGCATGCCCAGCCACCGCATGCCCAGCCACCGCATGCCCAGCCACCGCATGCCCAGCCACCGCATGCCCAGCCACCGCATGCCCAGCCACCGCATGCCCAGCCACCGCATGCCCAGCCACCGCATGCCCAGCCCACCGCATGCCCAGCCACCGCATGCTAAAACAGCTTCTGTTTGGCCAGATAGAGGGGGCTAAAGGAGCGCAGCACAGGCTGGAGAAAGCAAATACTGATGCGGTACAGGAGGATGTGGAGCTGAGTGGACTTGTCGATGACCGGTACTGGCAGTGTTAAGATCAGCCTCTGTGGAGGAGGCTCCTGAAAGACGCTACTCTGGTGAATTGGAGGCAGTGGCTCTCCAACAACGAGCTGAGCGTCCGGGCATATTAACAAGCAAGTTGGCAACCCATGGCACCTGCGTCTGTCCCGGGACCTCCTGCCAGCGAGCCTTCGACACTTCACGTGGCCTCAAAGTGCACCTGGCCATGCCCCGGTGGCTTTACAGAGTGATCGCATTCGTGCTGCCAGTATGCCGCAGTGGCCTGTGGAACGCTGCGATGGTGCAGGTTTCCCTCGCCCTATGCGGGTTCGGTGTGTGGGGAAGTATTCAATAGGCGACGTTGCGGGAAAATGGCCTTTCTACACATGGGCCCCCTTGACCACTCCACACGTGTCCCCTTGGTCCCTGTGCTACGGGTGACCCAGTGGTGTTTGTTTCAGAGGCCACGTCTCCTTCTCCTCTGCTGCGCCCACAGTCTTCTCCTCCCTTCTCACAGCCGCTCCCCGTGCCGTTGACTCCCTGCCGCTGTGACTCATGCATGCTGCATAACGTGTACGGCTTTCAGGCGTTTTGTGTCTACGTGGCTTGTTTATGATTCCCGCTCACGGCCAACACCATTGACGGTTATCTGAGCCGCTCCTGGGTACTCAACTAGGTCGACTCAGCCTCAAATGAGTACCCTGGTGCGATGTGTAAACATCGCCACTCGGGAGGCAAAGGCGACGGGGGCGTGGTGCTGGCCACCCACCCCCTCGTGTGCCGTGCCGGCATTTATAGGTGCTTGCTAACAGCACCCACAGGCTTATATATGGGAAGGGGGGGGGGGATCTTTGTATTTGTGTCACTGGACACCGCTGGGACGGCCTCGCAGGTGACACGTTTGAGTGAGAAATGCTCTTCAGTGCGGCTGCTCCGTCGGGACAGCCGTGGCGACGTTTCACCTCGCACCTTGGAGGCATCTTCAGGCATTGTGAATACACCCGAGGCTTTGCCACTGCTCATGGGAGGCCATTCATTTGTACCATAGACTCATAGATTCATAGGATCCATAGATTAATGGGTTCCATAAATGTATCGATACCATAGATTCATAGGTACCATAGATTAATCGATGCCATAGATTAATCGATCACATAGATCCATGGGTACCATAGATTTGTCGATACCATAGATGTATCGGTACCATAGATTAATTGGGACCATATATTCATCGATACCATAGATTAATCGGTACAATAGATCCATGGGTACCATAGATTCATCGGGACCATAGATCCATGGGTCTCGTAGATTAATGAGTACCAAAGATTAATCGGTATCACCGGTACTTATGAATCATTGTGCAGTTTCCGGTCACTAAATTATCGGGTGCATGTGTAGACTGTTTTTTTTGTTTGCTGTGGAACAAGATGTGATTGTAGATCGATTAAAATGAGATGTCGACGTTTGTTGCACGTCTGTGTAGGTTTCGTTTATTTTCAAAACACCTGTCCATACCATGCATGAATGATGACAGCACACAGTGCAGTCAACGTGACGTTACAACACCACTCATGCAGAGCATATGATCAACTCACAAACTCATCGTCGGCCACGATGAAGGCCTCAGCTCGAGGACTGGACTGGTGTCACGCCTGATGATGCCGGATGTAACGCGCCTGCGAAACGTCGGACGAAAATCGTCAAAACGATGCTTTGGCTTTTGGACATCCCTCCCCTCGAGTATTGCTGATGAACTAAATCGATCGGAATATCGTCCGTAGATCACGTGACAACTTGATGAGATTGGCACTGCCGGTGTTGGAGGGTTAGAGTGACACATCGAGATTGCAGCGACACGGCGATCTAGCCCGAAATGAACTCGCGATGAAGCGTAAATCCACCGCTGGACGTGGTCTGTCCCCTAGGCACCATCTCTCACAAGCCCGGTGTTGGTGTTGTTGAGTTTTGTTTACACGTTTGCTGGACACAGAACCCAAAACGTCCAGCAGTGTCAGCAACAAGCAGCACGAAGTATCAGAGTTGTAATGTAACACGGGGCCACCACGCGTGTCTTCAAGTGAGCAGGCCGCTCACAAGAGATCGGGGGAGAGGAGAGGCCGCGCGCGCCTGTGTTTGTGAACTCGCTGCCAAAGCAGCAGCGGCGGCAGCTCACGTGGCAGGCGCCATTCACGGCTTCAACCGAGCCCCGAGTGTGGGTCAGGCCACGTGCTCCATTCATGCACCACCCCCATCAACCCCTGCACCCCAAAACATCCCAACCCAAGCCCCCCCCCCAACCAAGCCCCTCCCCCCAACACAAGCCCCTCCCCCAACCAAGCCCCTCCCCCCAACCCAAGCCCCTCCCCCCAACCCAAGCCCCTCCCCCAACCAAGCCCCTCCCCCCAACACAAGCCCCTCCCCCAACCCAAGCCCCTCCCCCCAACACAAGCCCCAACCCAAGCCCCTCCCCCAACCAAGCCCCGCCCCCCCCCAAGCCCAAGGCCCCGCCTGCCCCGCCCCCTCAGCGTCGCGCGCGCCGCATCCGGCACCTGGAGCCGGCGTCACGTGACTGCTGCCGGAAGTGTCGAGGGGAGAGGCGGCCACGCGTGGCCCGCGCGCGCCACACTCGAGGTACAGACGTGGACATTGGCCACCGGCTCGCGGACGGGCGAGAATAATGAAACAAAACCTCAATACAGATTATTGTCATCATTACTATCGTCGTCGTCGTCGTGCTCGTGTTGCCGCAGCTGTCGCGCGTAAATGAGCACGAGCAGACGGACGGCAGCAGCAGCAGCAGCACTGTCATTCACGGCACATCGGGTCAGTCCCCCGCTGCTGTGTGAGTGCTTCGTGGGGTTGTGTGGCCATACTTCACCTCGCTGGTCAGTGCAGCTTGGTGAATGCATGGCCGGGTGGTGGTGGTGGGGGGGGGGGGGCTGGGTGGGGGTGGAGGCCCCACGACCCGTTCAGATTCAGTTCCTCTCGCCACTGATGTTCGCCGTGGCGGGGAATTGATTGCAGGCCACGAGATGTGTTGCGCAGTGCGCTCGCCACTGCCTCGACAGCCACGCGACGCAGCGTCACGCGATGGTTGATGACAGAGACTATATATACTGTATATACAGTAGTGTATATACAGTAGCACAGTACGGTGTCCGTGGTGCACAGCGCTGACCAGCGCGGTGAAGTATGGCCAGACAAGCCTCGTGCCTGACGCGGCGTGGGGAGGCCTCATCCAGCAGTGGATTGACAGGGCCCCCTACACTGCCGCAGCATTGTCAGTGCGTGCAGCTGACGTGCCCATGCTTAAGCAGTGTAGGCTTTACAAAGCCGCCTTGCACACTTGGCAATGTGTCCCCGCGGTCTGGAGAGCGGCCTGAGTTTGCATTTGTTAGCGCAGATGAGCACCACTGAGCTAGTGCCAATGCACTTGCACTCTTACAATGTATCTTGCGTTGCTCATTTGAATGTGAACCCGAGTCTTTATTAAATGAAACGATTTCAATTTAAAGCTTTCGTGACTGCAGGGATTCATCTTTTTGGTTCTTTCGGTAAAGTTACGTAGAAGGGAAGTAATAAAATAATAAAAATAAAACATAATAAAATAATTCTTACAACGTTTCGGCCACAACGCAAACAGCCGTCCTCACCTTTACCGAAAGAACCAAGAAGATAAATGAAACGACTTAAACAAATACATAATTTAATTATGAGCGCATTGACAAATATAGTCTAGGCCGAGAGCCGTATTTGTCACTCCACTGCTGGATGATGATGGCCCCCTCCCTACGCAGTATTTGACAAAACCTCATCACAATGGTCACTTGTGGGTTGGTGGAAAACGAGGGGGGGGGGGGGGGGCATAGAAGTACTGTACTACTCCACAAGGCTGGACGTTACTGCGCTGCCCTCTGCTGCCCACCACGCAGGCGTGCAGCAGCAGCAGCAGCCTATACCACCTTGTTGTGCACGGCGGTGGTCGTGCGCTATCCGAGCGCTATCGGGGCCCGAACAGCGAGGGATTTGAACCGATGCTTTGGCCCACACGACATGAGCCGGGTACAAAATGGGACATTTTTGCCGGTATGAAAGTGTCAAGACGACTTGCCACACTTCTCTTGAGATGGCACTTTATTGAAGACACGTTCACTTGACACAGGCGGAGACCCCCACCGCAACAGCCCCGAGTCTCCCGCGTATCTCCCCCTTTTATACCGACACGAGGCCACGCCCCCCTTCTCGATCATTCTCGCCGACTCTGGACGCTCGCAGACTCCACCGTCCTCTTCCGTCGCTTCACCACGCTCCCTTCTCGATCATTCCCACAGCCACCAGTCCCTTCGCACTCGCGACTGACTCCCCTGTCATTACCTCCCGTGGCCACTAGTGCACTCAGCGCATGTAGACTCTCCTGTCATTGCAAAAAAATAAGAATCGGTTTTACCCTTTATGGCAATAAAACAGGTGTCAAGATGTTCAAACACCAAAGAGATACCTTTTGCAAGGAATCAAACCTGCATTAACCACACGTTAGTGCAGGCTTGGTTCCTCTTCGAATTCAAAGTGGGTGGGGGAACATTTTTGAATCAATCCGCAATCAAATTGTGGACCAACGTCTGCCCAATGTGAAATGTTTCCTTCACAAAAATTATGGAGTTTGCTCCACAAGGTAAGTTACTGTGCTGCCCCCTTCCCCTGTTCCTGCTCACAGTCCCCCCTCTCCGTGAACCAAACTCAGTTTACATTCCCTCCGTGTGGCGGTCTATAATCTCGGGAACAACCAAGTGAGGATGTTTTGGGATCACAACCTCACCATCCTTGTGCTGCTTGAAATCACTTTTGCACCTCAAATTTCTTTCCAAGCGTGTACTTAGAATTGAACGCTCTGCTTTGCAGACTTTTAAGTTATGAATGGGTTTTTTTTGGTATGTGATGCGTTGTTAGCCTGATATTTTTACGTGCAAGTACCATGTTGTTAAATCTTGATTTGAAGCTTTCGTGACTGCAGGAATCCATAATCTCTGGTTCTTTCGGTAAAGTCACATTGTTGATGTGCGACCTTGCCATTCGGAACGTGACGATTAACACAGTTGTGTTCATGTGTTTGCGTTGCTGTAACCAGGTTTCTGTCACCAGGTCCCTATAGAAAATGAGCATTTATTTTCCACTGGGTTTCATCCTTGCTAAAATAAACCCAAATAAACCTCAAGTAAACATTGTCCCCTCCTACTGGCAGACTGGGTGCTGGTGTTCACCTTGTACCGCACAGGGACAGCTGCCATTGGGAAGAAGGGTCCCCTTTAGAAAAATAACGAGAATAAAAAACCTGTGCTCTGAGATGTTTCGTTACGAAATGGACGCAATACAAGTGTAAGTCGCGTGAGGGGTCATGTGACTTTGTTGTTGTTGTTATTGTTGCTGTTACGGTGAGGGGTGAAGAGGCCGCGAGATGGCGAGCAAGGAGGTGAAGGTGGCCCTGAAGGCGGCGCGTGAGGCCATCAATGGCAAGGACTTCAAGGAGGTGCTCAAGCACTGCAAGGTTTGGCGCTCACTCACGGGGGACTCAACGCAAAATCTGACGTCCGCCGTTTCAATTACATATTCTTAATCAACTCGAGCCTCCTGTAAATCTTATTGGTTCTTTCGGTAAAGTCACGTAAAAGGGAAATAATAAAATAATAAAAATAAAACATAAAATAAAATTCTCACGACGTTTCGGCCACAACGCAAGCAGCCGTCCTCAGGTGAAGAACTGTAAATCACGTGACTTCTGTGTGGCCGCTATGGTGTGGACCGGAGGCCACTTGAAGGGATCTAAGTGGTAGCTCTGTGATGTCCGCTTCCGTGAGCCGTACTGCTCTGCATGAGACCCCAAACAGATC